ATGTTGACACGAAAGAGCGAAGAGAATAAATTTCGTTGGGACGTACACCATGAAAACGCATTCAGAAGTTTAATCCAAATTTTGTGTAGTGAACCAGTTTTAGCAATCTACGATATGAAAGCAGATCACGAGGTGCACACGGACGCTAGCAGTCTCGGATTAGCAGGAGTGTTATTACAGTCCGATGGTAATGGTAATTGGCAACCAGTGTTTTATTTTAGCCGCCACTGTTCTGAAACGGAATCGAAATATCACAGTTACGAGCTGGAAGTTTTAGCTGTGGTTGAAACGGTGCAGCGTTTCCGTATATATTTACTTGGAAAGCCATTCCGAATCGTCACTGATTGTGCCGCAATTACTAATGTGAAGACAACGAAGGAATTACAACCTCGAGTAGCACGATGGCTGATGAAATTACTTGAATTTGATTGTGAGTATGTACACCGACAAGGGTCACGTATGGCTCACGTTGATGCTCTCAGCCGTTCACCGGATCAGCCACAGACGGAGATTGAACCAGCAGGGTTCATAATGAATATTGATAGCGATGATTGGATTCTCACGATGCAGCTAAACGACGACCACATAAAGAATATTATGAGAGTACTGCGAAATGAATTGAAATCTGAGCAAGAGAAACAGATAAAATCTGAATACTTATTGGAAAAACATCGACTATACCGGAAAACGAAAAATGGACTACGATTGGTCATACCGAAGGCTATACGATGGCGCATAGCTAAATACTGTCATGATGATATTGGCCATTACGGGTTGGAGAAAAGCCTCTCACGAGTCGAACAAACGTTTTGGTTCCCCCGCATGAGGAAATATATGAAGGAGTACATTGCAGCGTGTGTAGAGTGTTGCTACAACAAGGCAAAAGGTGGTAAACACGAAGGAGCTCTACATTTTAGTAATGTCGAACCGCTACCATTTAGGCAAGTACATATTGATCACTTGGGACCGTTTATAAGAAGCAAGCATGGTCATACACATATAGTGGCAATCGCCGATTCCTTTACGAAATTTGTGGTTATTAAAGCTGTAAGGAATACGAAGACATTGCCCGTCATCAACGTTTTAAATGAGGTTAGTGGATACTTTGGTTTACCTCGAAGAATAATTTCGGACCGTGGGACAGCTTTTACGTCAAAAATGTTTGAGGAATATTGCGATCGAAACAATATTCAACACATTAAGAATGCCGTTCGTACACCAAGAGCCAATGGACAAGTTGAGAGGGTCAATCAACTTATCCTGTCTTATTTACGAACTACCACTGAAGAACCGAAGGATTGGGACTCGGCACTTCACGTTTTACAATGGTCAATCAATTCAACCAAAAATTCGACAACAGGTTACAGTCCGAATGAGTTGATTTTCGATTACAAGCCCACCGACTTAATACAAAACCGATTGTTAGCAGCTGTACAAGATGATGTACAAAACGAAGAAATTTCCATCAACGAAAAACGTATCATGGCCGCAGAAAACATCAAAAGCGAACGAGAACGATGGAAGAAAAGATTTGACAGCAAGCATTCGAATCCGAAATTGTATGTGGAAGGTGACTTGATCCTTATACAGAATGAACCACCAGCGACAGGTGAATCCCGGAAGTTAGAACCTAAATACAAAGGTCCATACATAATAGCACGAGTATTGGGCAACGACAGGTACCTGATAGAGGACATTCCTGGAATAAACATCACGAATAGGAAATTCTGTTCCGTATTCAGTTCCGACAAGTTGAAGAAATGGTGTGAATGTTCCCCCGAATTGGATGTTTCAAGCGAAGATGAAGCCGAGGACGACTTCAGGTCAGGAAAGGCCGAGTTGTCAAGTTAAAAGTAGTAGTAGATACCTTTTGTTGCATACATGTGAAAATATACGATTACATGCAACCCGGATACAACCCTGAATTTTTAAAATGTAACGAAGTTGAAGATACGAAGCCAACCTGACAAGGCGTACTAGTTTTAAGCTCGTATAATTGATTTTAATAAACGTTTGTGAATTCTTAATTTAATATAAAAACGGTCGTTGTATTTCATTTGAGTATACGGAAACCAACAGACTTCAATCGATCACTTGACATATGCAAATAATTGTTAATTCACATTTTGGCATTGGTAGGGGAGAAACCAGAAGGTTTGGCCCATAAATTCCATATTCACATCAAATGGCTGAGAGAAAGATTTAGATTTTCCAAGAATCTCTGACATGTTTCACAAGTTATGAGAGTATATTGTATTAATAAAAATATTGCAATATGTGAAATTTGAAGATAATCGGAAGCTGAACAGTACTTTGAGTGGGCTCATATCTACCATATGCACAGCTAAAATTGTGCTAGTAGAAATATTGAGTTGTGTCGAGTTTAAAAGTGATAGGATCCTCATTTTACCTTTTATTAGCGTTTTGTTATTAGTCCTTTCTATCCGTTCTTCATACCAGATCTTGTGTTGTTTAAGATATTGGGATGTGTGAAATTTAAAGTGAATCGGATGCTTTTTCAGATTTTTTGAGCGTTTTGCTTTTTAAAATTTTGACACCTTTCTGGGGGAGGTACCAGAAGGAGTGGACCGATATATTCTATATTCGCACCAATTCTTGTGTTAGTATAAATATAGGGATATGTGAAAATTGAAAAACATTCGGTCTGTTTCGCACTATACAAAATTGTTATCCTTTGTAGGGGAGTTACTTTACGGAGTGGGCCGATATTGTCCATTTTCGGACCTTACCTAGCACCGATAAAAATATTAAGGTTTCTTCTTTTAAAAGGTAAATAATTTTCTGTGAGAATGTTGACCTTTTGTGGGGAGGTGCTAGAAGTAGTGAACGGATATTGCACATCTACGATAATACCATAATATCGAAGACTACATTAAAAGTAGGACCTATATGGACAGTTCTATGCAAGGATGTTTTCTACATACTGGGGACACAATCTGCCAATTTAAAGCAAATTTGAAAAATGTGACTAAAACAACCAAAACACCTTAAATTTGCCGACACAGTCATATGGGGACTATACCAAAACGTGAACCCATTTCGATTCAAAAAAAATTAAACCGACCCCAAAAAAAAACATCTGGATGAAATTTTATCAACCTTCCTCGCTAAACGCCTTCTAAACCCCGATCTAAAATTTATATTTCGAGCTGTTACAAAACGGGATGACAAACTAAATATACCCTCCATACTATGGCGAAGGGTATAAAAAATATTCGCCCCATTCATATTGAAGGGCATTACAAATTACTCATCCAAGGTGAGGCTACTATCGTTAGCAGCAATTACTTGTTGATGCCTCATTCATTTTTAATAAGGTGTGGGCATTGTTGCACACTGCTAACCTTAATAGTATAGTTTGATTGGTATGCATTCGATTAGCAAATGGGATAACATCACTAATGAAATATATTTAAATAAGCACAATATTAAAATTGATTATTAGATTTTGTCAATTAAATTATTAGAAAATATCATAAATGAATACTTTACGGGGTTTTCCTCTGATAAATTCTCTAATTATTTGAATCCACGGTTTGCTCAGAATCATGACTTCGGGGATATTGGCGATAATGTTGGTGATTTCAGTTTTCGCTGCGTTGTTGCTGTAAAATTGGAGGGAGTATTTGGGGCTATTAAGTCCAATAGGATTTGATGGATTATGTCTGAATTTCTTAAGGTTGTTTTTCCGTAACTTTCCTCCCAATTTCTTAACTTGGTTAACTTTTGACTTTTTTAATGTTTCTCAATGAACTCTTTTATGATCTGCATTTTTATGAGTCATTTGCGTTTGCTGACGATGTTTAGTTATTTTTCAGATGAGGCATTTAATTTCAGTTTTTGCACGGGTTTCTCGGACGGATTTACCATTGTTATAGTCGAATAGAGTAATTGTATCTAATATTCCAAACACACATCTTCCGAAAATATTTGTTTTCGGCATACTTCTATACTCTTGTGTATATATTTATAACAATAAACAGGTAAAAAAAGGGATGTGTAAAAAACCCCACATTAACATGATTTCTGAAATTCCTAATTAAAAATCTATTTGTTAAGACATCGCCGTTTGCAGAATTTGTTTAAAACACATTACATACCTTTTTATTCGACCGTTTGTGTTAAAAATTTAGGGGAAAATATGTTAATATTTTTATACATATTTTGGAAAGGTTTTTTCTTGGCTACCAAGCTATAATACGGGTTCAAAACATTGATTAACCTCGATCCTTCCGAGCTGAATTAAGTTCGAGAGTTGTATCAAAATACACGTTTTTTGACCTGCTTTTTATTAAATGCTAAAAATATAAAACGGCTTCATTATGTGGTATCACAAAATGTCTGTCAAATTATACCTGTATGTCTGTATAATTATACTATTAACTGTCCGAGAGTTTCTACTAAATTAGAGTAAAGCTGAATTATTCTTCAATAGTACATTATTCCATCTCGTTTCCAAACAAATCGAAATAATTTCACAATGCGAGTAACTTTTATCCATCACTGTTGCAAAATGCAATGCAATTCATGTCGATTTGTCCGTTGCCTCAGTTTCTTCACACCAAGCACAAACACACACACAAATTCATTTCTTTACCTCATCATCTCCATCATCAACGAAGTCGTACGATGCCACTACACAGGAAAACAACAACAAAATCCATGCCAGCAAACAAGAGAAACAATAACAGCAAGAACAACAACAACAATGAAACTCAATGTATGGGGGAATACTAAAAAAATAACAACAGCAACAATAAATGGCAACAGTAACAGCCCATCAAACAGCAAAAACAACAAGATAAAACGAAAGGGAACACAAAATTCCTAACCTTTAAAATACAACAAAAAGTCAGACAAAACAAAAAAAGCAATAGATTTTTCCAATTTCGTCTGAAATATTTGCAATATTGACCTACCAATTAAATGACGTTATTAACCAGGCATATTGGCGTTGTGAAGCTTGTTGCAAAACTTACCGGTTTCATTATTGTCGTTTGAGGAAGCGTTGGTTGTTCCAGATCCAGACGCTGCTGCTGTGGCACCACCGCCGCCCTTCACGGGTATATAAAGACCATAAAATGGCATTTTTTGATTTAATTCTCTCCCGATTATTCAGAATTCTTGCTCAATCGTGTTTTTCCGCAGCCGAAAAACAAATATATGGCTTTTTAAAAGTCTTTTGTTTCCTCTGGCTGTCTGTTGAGCTATTTTCGTTACCTTGCTTTTTTTCTTCACAACACCAACAAAACAAAATTCGATCAAACTGAATTTCTCAATTGATTTTTATTCGAACGTATTAATAAAGTGTTTCCAATCCCTTGAATTTCTTATTTGTTTGTTACTTCGCTATACAAATCAATTGTTTATTGTTTATTTGCAAGCATTTTAATACGTTGAAATATTTTTGCCGTACTTTTCTACTGCGTTCACTGACAACTAGGGATACGTAGGTCGTGGAAAAACAAATCTATAAATCGACATTAACGAATAACCGAGATGGTGACATTTGAAATAGTCGACTTTTTTATCGACTATTCGATAAATTTGATAGATCCACATTTCATAATGGGAATATGATTATTTATTTTTAAGGGTCTGAATGTAAAAATTTCCATATAGCTATAGAGGGGAGATTGACAATTCACTACAGTAACTGCTTATTCAAACAACATAATAGAATTAAATCTTGGCGATTTTTTAATTTGTATTTACCATTTTTCTAGCATACATTAAGGAGCTCTTCACCAATTTTAAACTATAAATAAACTCCTCGGAGCAAGGTAGATCTACTAGGTAGTCGCATCAGCCCAGCTGACGGCACCATTAAATGTCAAAACAAGTTGCTGTAATCCTGAATTCGCCCTAAATGGATGCAACACAAAATATGTCTCCTCCCTAAAATTTTCTTTGAAAAATGAATTACCAGTTACAAATTAAAAGAAAATGAAAAAGTGTCCCATTGTAGGTCGCGGCCAAGCACTTTCCATGGTTATGAAAATTGTGAGGAGCACCAGTTGATTTACAATACGTCTTTGCAAATCTACCTTGCTTCGAAGCATAGGGCCTCAATTCCTGTTGAAAGAAATGTCAAATGAGAACATTTAAAAGTTTTTTTTTTAAATTGGTTTATTTATAACAAGAATTATGTCTCCAAAGCTTTCCTTCCTTTCCAAAGTTATCATTTGACGTCCAAGGTCGACTACTGTTTTAACTTGGATTTAAAAATAAGATTAATAATCAAATCGAATGCAGCAAATGCATGCTCATTTATTGTCGACATGGAATTAACTTTGTCCTCGGTCTGATTATCAGTGTCAAATATTTACAACATGACACATAAAAAGATGACAATTTCCAAAAATAAACACTCTCAACCTTAAATGGTATTTTGAAAATTGGAATTATGAAAACAGTACGACATGTTACCTGCACAGCATGCATTCTGCTCAAATTTGTGTGGTATTTTCAAATTCTCAAGTGGCCGTGTGATGCGCCACACGATTTTGTAGCATGTTTGTAAAAAAGGCCCACAACTTTGCTTAGGTAGTTCTAGATAGCTGTAGCGATTTTCATAATTGTAAAAGACGAGACAACTAATAAAAAACAGTTAGTATCAAAGTAGAAACCGCAATAGAAGGTTGTGGGCATTTCTTTACTATTTGACATATAATTCCCGTCCGACGCCAAACGCTTTCGCATATTGATGTGCCTTTGCCTGGAAATCCAATAAACGATCTAATTATCCCTGCACAAACAACAAAGAAGGGACTCATTTTGTTAAAATTTTGTAATTTATTAAAAATTAATTGTTTAGTATATAACAAATAATATTTAGGCATTAATTTAAAAATTATAATTGTGCGACATTATTTTGGAATCTCTACAAAAATGGAAAACGCTCACACACAGGATGTTATAGAATGTCCCTACGAAAAACATCATCAAATTTTAAGGTCGCGCATGCAGGTGAGACGGAATGTCCTTCATAATTTGAATTTCATTTTTACGACTGGTTTGTTTATTATATATATCATTTAAGGTACATTTAACACGTTGCCGCAAAAATCATCCCAACGAAAAGAAAGTCACATGCCCTTTTAATGTAACCCACATTCTTAATGAACCCGAACTAGAGGTAATGTATTAAATATAAAAATACAATGTGATACATATATTCAATGTAATGTATTTTAAAGTTTCATGTTAGCTCCTGCCCCGAACGTACGTCGTTCGAACACTTCCGCAGCAGCGTAGAGGTTCCAATATGTCGCACTGTACCGCCACCAATGCCTCAATGCCAAAGTGAAGAAAATTGGGATGATGAAAATGTACCTTCCTATAATCCACAAGCATATGCAGCAAATGCTGATGTATTGCGTTCTATTCAGGGAGCACCGCCTTCGCAAAGGAAAGCTTTTCGTAAACAAGAACGTTTACGTCTTTTAGGCATTGATAACAATTAGTGTTTTATTTTTCAAGTTTGTTCATGTACCAAAAATCTCGGAGTTTTTACATGACTATATGTATGTAATTCAATTTTTTATACAATTTTAATGTTTAAATGAAAAAAATAATACTGTGACGACAATATTTGTATATTATAAAATAAAAATAAAAGTGATAAGCTTTATATATTTAAAAAACACATTTGTTTCTTGTTTGAATTCCCGACTGAAAATAAAGGTCTTTATAAAAATCCCATTAAGACCGGTGAATTGGAAACCAAAATAACTACGACATCCTATCAAATACCCACTGGAATTGTCTAATATATAGAACCACAGTATATCTGTGGAGTAATACAATAAAACGGTTACAAGATTTAGAAGAAATTCAAAATTATTCTCGCTGAGGTGATTTTTGGCTATCCTTCTATTGAGCTTACGGGCATCACTTGTGTATGCAGATTCAAGTATAATTATCATACTGTTAGATTACTGAAACACCATTTAGAATAAAACGCCAGATTCTGAGACGTTGAGATCCCGCAACAAGTTAATGAAAGTCAAATTCGCCGATATTTTCAACGAAAATTTTATTAAACAAATATTCGGAGTAAGCAGAAAATTCTATAGCAATTATTTTATTTTTTACTTTGTTTAATGTTCTGCTAATATATTGGCAAATTGTTCTGCTAACTTTTCGGCATTATCCAGTAACTCGTCGCGACTCAGATTTTGAGACATTGCTTTAAACTGTTGAAGATTATTCATGAGATTTTCAAACTCATTCAATTGATTTTCGATATCACTATCATCCGAGACTGATTCATCTGAGTTGTCCTCGGATGGTAAATGGTTAAAATCCAGATTTAATTTCCTGCCATCGACAATTACATTAGACCACACATTATTCTTTAACATCTCAATGACTTCGCCATATCCTCTATCTGCGCCATCATCGTAATCATCCTCGCTATTTAAATCGCATACGGCAAATTTAGATGAGGCACACTTCTGCCGCAATGTATCCATAGACTCTTTCTTGGAAATATTTCGTGTTAATATGCACGGGAAACCAATGTTGTTAGTTTTCACAAATTTGTTGAGGAAATCGATTTTTGTATTGAAAGTCACACAATCGGCATCAAAATATATAATACATCCTTCGATATGTTTGCTCAAACTATTGGGAATAGACTCAAGGTCGTCCCATTCGAAGAAGCCAATTTCTGTTTCATAGTATTTTGTGATAATGTTGCATTTGCAGACGGCTAGACTGCAATCTTCCACTTGTGTTGTTATCTCTTCACAATCTCCTCCATTTGCATGCAAAATATCTTTTATTATTTTGGTGCTGTTCTCCTGTCCATAGGAATGTACAAGTATTAAAGGAATCATTACAATATTACAAGTTTACGGTGAAAAAGTAGTTTATCGAGACTCTTCTTCTTATCGGTGACACAGATGTATGTATGCGAATGATTAACATTTAGGGATCCGTAGTTCACCAAGAATTACTCCAGAGTAAAGTGCCCCGTACACGGTAAAAATGCAAGCAATTTTTTATGTATGCGTCATACCTACGATGCAAAAAGTAAAATCAGACTTTTTTGCTTTTTCTCATGCATTACGTTCGATTTTGACATGTGTGTGATTGGGAGATTATGCATATTGTCATTTGTGACGTTTTTTTTCAAAGCGAGAAATTTAGTTGATGGAAGTTTACCGGTCGTGACCAGCACTTTGGGATGTTAATATATCAATCGATAAAACTGTATCTGTCTGTTATCGGCATTGCCAGTGCAGCACGAAATCACACGAAATCACGAGAGAACAAAAGAGCCTAGGACAGAAATCGAACAAAGTCAACATAAAATTCCTTTGTTCCTCTATGAAGAAGCCTGACTCTGACTTAAGGTGAGAATACATAGAACGCTTTTCATCAGCTGGATTCTTCGAAAAAAAAAAAACAAAGAATGCATTAACCATTTGCACACGATCATGCACTTTGAACATGTACGGGGTACTTAAAGGTGTGGCTATATAACCCAAAGTAGCAACCATGGTAGAAGAATATATGTAGATGCATTAACGCTTGGAAACATTGATCTGTCAAAAATTATAAAATGTTTTTTCAAATATAAGTAGATACATAAAACGCTTCTTCGGGAGAGAACAAAAGAGCCTAGGACAGAAATCGAACAAAGTCAACATAAAATTCCTTTGTTCCTCTATGAAGAAGCCTGACTCTGACTTAAGGTGAGAATACATAGAACGCTTTTCATCAGCTGGATTCTTCGAAAAAAAAAAAACAAAGAAGCCTGGGCCGAAATCGAACTAAGTCAACTTTTAACTCCTTTGTTCACCTACAAAAAAACCAGCCGAATGCTTTAATGCTTTCACCTTTAAGCCAATAAAAAGCCTTTTATTTACTTTCACCTTAATAGTTTTTACAACCATAACCGATATTCCCTTTATGATAGTAAATTGTAACTTTTGCATATTGTCTGCATTTTTCTCTCCCTGAGCACTGTGGGAGCACGGTACAATAAGGTGGTAAAACAACTGTAACTGAAATTATTCAAATGACTTAAAAAGGCGAAGGATGAATGGAAAGCCTAAATGTTCTTTCAAAAACATAATCCAAGCAGTTCATATTTCAATTCAATGGCAAAAATGGTTAATATTCCAAGTACGCGACCCGCCATGTACGTTTCTTCTAGTCATTGATTTTCAAAATTTTTTGTTTTTATTTTTTAAATGACCAAACGTAAACACAAAATTGGCAGGAGTCGGGTACACTCAGAAAAAAATGTTATCACCTGACAGCTTTACTTTACCTTTTTATTGTACCCTGTATGGGAGGAACTTTCGCATTTAATAAATTGTGACATGGTAACCCTGCCTAATTGTTGTGCACGTGCTTTTGTTTGTAAACAAAAACAAACTTTCTTGCCGGACTGGGATAGAAAACTTGGAAATAGTGTAAATTAAATTGATCCCAAAAAATTGGAATTTGCAGAAAATTTTCCAAAATGTCCTCAAGTGATTCAGAAGATGAGGAACAAATGAAAATGTTCTTGGAAGCGTCTGACACAACATTTCTAAACAATGATATGTTTAAGGACAAGACCGAAAAAGAAACCAAAGACGATAGTGTAGCTAATGAATCAATCACCAAAAAGGAGGAGGGTAGGTATAAAAATGTACAACAGGAAAGTGTGTTAATTGTAGTATGTAGGGCGTATATATCGTTGAGCGACTCCGTCCGGTCGACCAGCTGAAGAATCAAAAGGTTGACTTCCAATTTACGTAGCCAAACTTTGGAATTATTGGAAAGTGTTTCTCACAAGGCCTAAAACCTTCATCCATGTTGCTAGAGTAAATCCGAAATTTTGGAGACGAATATATGAACTTCCCTCCAACAAATGGCATATTTAAACTCTTGTAATTGACGTGACGTAATAAGCACAACAATCTATAGGGTTTGAGACTTGATCCGAAAATAGTTTTCAAATGTCCATCTCTCTTTTACAGATAAACCAAAATCACAACGATATCTAGCAGACGAAGAAGATGCCACCGGAACTGATTTCAATTTACCCGAATCAATGCAAAAACATATGGCTAAAAAATTCCATGATATCCTGAAACAAACCTATGAATTTTGTGAAGTCAACAATGCGATCGGCGAAAAAAAATCAAAAGCAAAAAGTCGTGTCAGGCTATTAAACGGCTTTGAAGATTATGTTAAACCTTATGAAGAATTCGAATACGAAACAAAAGGTCCCACGAGGAAACCGGAAATCAAAAGAAGATGTATTGAAAATAATTCACCCGACGACGAGTGTCTGAAACAATTAGCCATAAGTGGAAACGATATATTGTCGGGAAAGGAAACCAAATCCTGGGCAAAGAAGAAAGAACGTAAAGATAAAGTTTTCCACTATAGATTGGGGGCGAATGATATTTGTCATGCCAAAGAAGTCATCAACGAATTTACCCCAATTAGGCGTAAGAATCATTGGAGTGAAAATAAAATAAAAGATTTCAAAATTGTTAAGTCGTACTTATGACTGGTGTTCTCTCTTAAGTGTTTTTTGGATTTTCAATAGAATAATAGAGATTATTGGATACTAAAAGAATTAATGAGAAATATATGGTACAAAAAGCACCATGGATACAATCATTACAAGGTAGGGTCGGATGATTTAATTTGAAAAATACCACAGAACGTAGAGTACATCGTATAATTATATTCATACCATATCATAAAACAACAACATCGATTTTTAAAATATTAGCAAATCATAGCAGTACTATTTTAAAATTATTAGTAATAGTAGAACAAAGGAGCGTAAGGTGAACAAGTATAGATTATGGGTATTCGAACCTTTACTGAGAGTTTGGAAAAATTATCTTACTAAGAATTGTCCAGTATAATCAGCTGGTTGAAATAAATATGTTTTAGTGCAGAAGCAAAAAGTTGCACAAATTTCAAATTAATTTTCATATCAGAAATATTCAATATTGAATTATAGCTATATAAATTACAATTTTTGTTCTATTTTCTCAACAGCCTGAATTCCATGAAAATACTAAACGAAAATTGTATAAGGAAAAGAAATGTTAAATGAGAAATTCCATAAAGGAAATATTTTTCATTTCCTATTTTTAGATAACAAGTATTCAGCCTGTTGATTTTACTTTCAATTGCACAGAGAGAGAAAGGATAATCCGATTTTGCTCCAACTTTGCAAATCCTAATATTTCCATCAGTGCTAGGTCAGGTGCGAAAATGGACAATATCGATCCACTCCATCAAGTACCTCCTCCACAGAGGGTCAAAATTTTGAATAATTATAACTCTTATTAAAAGTCATGTAAGTGTCCGATTATCTTCAAATTACACACATCACAATATTTTTATTAACCCAATGTCTGGTGTGTGAATATATCGGTCCACTCCTTCTGGTACCTACCCCACAAAGGGTCAAAATTTTGAATATTCATGAAGCTCATAAAACGCCAAAATTATCTCTGATTTCATTCAGACTTGGCACAACTCAATATTTCCATCAACACAAGATCTGTTTAAAATATGGTAGAGGTCGGACCATTCATTCTTGTACCTTCCCCACAAAGGGCAAAGTTTTGAAAAACCAAAAGGATTATAAAATCCGAAATATGCATCCGAGTCTCTTCATATTTCACACATCATATTATTTCTACTTATACAAGGTCGGCTGTGAAGATGGAATATATCAGTCCACGCCTTCTGGTACCTCCACCACAAAGAGTCAAAATTTTGAATCCCAATGGCTCCCATAAAATGCGAAATTAACATCCTATTCCATTCAGTCTTGGGATATCTCAATATTTCCATAAGAAAACTGCAACAAAGTCATACGACGTAATTTTTACATTTTTTTTAAATTTTATTGAAAGAAAGCAAAAATTGTCAGAAATTGCATCAAATTAATAAGTTTAGATTTGTTCCAATTGGTCACCTTTGGCATGAATTATAGCCTTCAAACGGCCAATGAAACAGTCACTCTCTACCCAAATGTTGCTCTGCGGTATTTTGGCCCATTCCACTCTGACAATCTGGTATTTTTTAGTGCCAACTTTGCTTTCCAAAATACTCCAGACAGAATAGTCCAACGGTTTGGTATCCGGATATTTTGGTGGCCATTGTGCACTGGAAATGAAGCGAGAAACCACATTTTGTAACCATTCTTGAGTGCGATGGTGCTGGACAAAGAATTTTTTCTCATCGGAGAAAACTCTTGCTCTTTTGAGTCTATTTTCTTTCTGTTGCTGTAAAGTTCTTGCACTTTTTGGAATTTCAATGGCCTTGTAAATAATATAATGAGCTGTCACTGGAATAATTTTAACAGCTGCCGGACGAGTGGCTTAGAAATGACAGCAGTCTGAAGTTGGTAGCAGTTTTTTCATCTCACCCTGTATTTTACTTGTTTTTTAATATTAATAGACAACCTCGATCTTTCTAAATTAAAAACTAAATATCCTTCTTTTGTATCTTTTCAAAAATATGCCACTTGTCTTGCGTAAATAGTTACGATATTCATTAAAAAGATTTGAAAATGATAGATGAGTTCCAACATGGAAAAATTTGGGAAATGAGTTTATCTTGTTAATTCTGACGCCAATTTGTCCAAAGATTAAAAATAATTAAAATAACGAAAGGAAGATTTTTCATTTTATTCTTTACTGGATACATTTTTGTGTGTTAATAGTCAATTTCGTTTTTTATGGAAATTCATCTTCTGGCCGACTTAATAATTCAGTTATGATTATGACTAAATAAATTTTTCTTTCGCCTGAAAACTCTTTTCATGTCTGGAACAGAGCATACATTAATATTCATTACATACCCAAAAAAATTCTAACCCGACATCTCTACCATAATATGCCAACTTTCAGTTCATGCTCAATAAACATTCAATCATTCACAGTAACCCAAACATCAACGTCAGCCGTAAACAATCCGCTGTCATCGTCCTCTATTGTGAATAGTAAAATTTCTAATCTCATGCATTTTCATTGGAAAGGAAACGAAATTTGTTTTTCGACTTTTAATTATTAAACATTTCCTAAATAAATGTTATTAAATCACAAACTCATCTCTTTCATATAAACAAAATAGTTAATAAAAACGAAAATGGATCACAGGAGTCTTCATGCTCCTGTCGACTTCAATAAGGTAAGCAAGAAAAAAAAGAAAACAAGAACAGCCCAACTAAATGAAAAACTACCCTAAAAATTGTTTTATATTTTTAGTCCATCGAGGAGATGACACCAGAAGAAAAAGCAAGGTATAATTAACAAATTATCCCCAAAACTAGGTCACACAAACTAATTGATGATTATTTTCATTTTCTTGCTCGCAGATATGATCACCAGATGATGCATGAAAAACACAAGGGTCATGAAGCAATGCACTCGGAAATTGTGCTAATTTTATTTGTAACTTTAATTATAGCACAAATAGCTCTAGTACAATGGAAAAAGAAACACTATAAGTCATATTCTGTAAGTATTGGAGAAAATTTCAGCTATTTTGTGTGCTACTAATTCGGCGATAAGATAAGAATTCAAGGCAATGTATCTAAATGCCCAAACAACGAAACCGACGAAAGCGAAGTTTCTCCAAAATTTGAATAGAAATGAATATTTAAAGTTATTATGTGCAAAATAAAATATAAATATTGCATGTCTAAGTGTAAATGTACACTGTCAGCGCAAACAAAGGCAGTCATCAAATTGTTCAATTTTAATTCTAAAACTCCTCTCCAGATTTTGAAGCGTTTTAATGGTACAAAAACGAACAAAAAATTTTAAATACTTCAAAAGCTGGGGAGGCCATTTGCTGGATATTTTTGAAAAATTGGACAGTAGATAATACAAGTGTTATGGATTATTTTGACGTTTTAAGCGATTATATATCCGCTGTATACAATTTTGATACGTCAAATGCAATCCCACAAAACTAGAGGTCTCGCGTAAACTGTTTACCGGAAAATAGTCCGAAATTCTGTCGATTAGCAAATCCTACAAATTGGCAAGGAATTTTATAGTCAATGATATTTAAACCAAGATAATTAACTGGGCTTCAAAATTTAAGAGTTTTTTTCTTTGCCGAAAAACTCTGTCCACTGTTTTTCCTCAAAAAATTAAATCTATATATATAAAAGAAAGTTGTGTTAGTTACTACGCTTATAACTTAAGAACCGCTGGACTGATTTTAACGATTCATACAAATTCGGAATTGTCTTCTGTCCGAAAAGGATAATATCCAAAAAAATCGCGTGAAAATGTGATATATTAACATTTTCATTTTGACTTTTGAAATGTACAATAGTAATGTTTTATTTTGCATGATTTTTTTCCATTTTGACTTACTTTTTTCTAATGTACATTTGTAGTGTTTTTTATATTTTATTTTTGAATTTGAATATTAAAACCAATTTATTTAATTGACTTGATCTCTTGAGAACTGAAATTAATGGCGGAAGTGTAGTACCGAATTATGTGGTGACGGAACGGAATAGATGATATCTAAATAATTTAACGCGGTCACACCAAAGTTAAAAGATAATTACTTTTTCAAAATCGCTAAAAAATCACCAAAAAGAGATCTCATTGCAAAAATTCTTAAATCGGGAAAAAATCGAAAAAAAAATTCAATGGAATTGAATTTTAATATAATATAATTGACAAACTTTGTAAGGATTTTTAAACGTTTGCTATAAAAATCAGCGAACAAGTTGAAGATTTTTACAATTTGTTATTCTTCTTTGATTTTTTGTATTATCATATTGAATTCAGTGGATTTTTGTGAACAAAATAAAGAATAATTTTTCACTATATACAATTTTTCACCAAAAAAAAAGAAATAAATGCGAAATACGATGTTAACTGACTTTCAACTTGACCTTTCAACTTCAGGGCTACATCGTAGTTCAGCTGGAAGATGGGAACACATTTAAACAAACAAAAATGACCGAAAAAGCCCAATGGGGCTCATTTCAAAGCGTGGACCTACTTCTTTCAATAATCCGTCGAATGCGAGCTCAAAATAAAAAATTCTTTGGGAGTACAATCAGTGAAATACCAAATTTAAAGGGTGCAAAATAGTAGAGCGAATGGGACTTTTAGTAAGAAAAGGATTTCTATCCTTCCTGAAATTCATCCCAAACATTCAAAATACCTTAAATCGCTTTTGCAGGTCATGATATCGATCATAACTCACGGATAAAGGTATAAACCGATTTCATATTTATATAACCATCGGATGATTTAAGCTATTTTTGGGGTCATGGCCACTTTTTTCATTTTTTCGCCCTTATTTGGCATCTTGGTTTCTAAGGGGGTAGAGAAACTCTTCGTATAAAACTTGAAATTTTCCGAGTAGGGCCCATATTGGTCTTGACCACATTCATCAATTGATTTGGCTAAAAAATTGTATTTATGCTACCCTGGGTTAGGGAACCATCATACAGATAATTGCCACATAGGAATTTATTTTAGTAAAGTCCCCACATTGGAGTATCCCCAGGTCCACTTTCACATCTAATATGTGGTCAGAAAAGAAAATTTTGTATTCTATAGAATTTGTAACCCCCAAGAGAATATTGGTTGGGAATGTAGATTTGGGATGTACATCTATATGAAATAAATTGTGGAAACATGAACAAATTACAAATATAAGAAAGTAGCACGGGACCGAATATTTGTTGAATCGTCATTGAATTATACTATGATGAAAAATATGGACTTTATGGGGTCTCCAACTTACAATTTAAATGGAAAATAAAATTAGTTCCCATATTACGGTAATGGGTGTAAAATAGTAATTATAATTGAGTATTCTGAAATCAGTCTGACTTCAATTATGAGGTGGATAAAACTATTTTTACTTAATTAAATCACGTGAACATTTTAACATTCATATCTTTGAATAATTATTCTTTGACAAATATGCATAATAGACAAAAACTACGGGCCGGCAACGCGGACCGGGCCAGCTAGTATTTTATATACTTACCATGTATACTTACATATTTTTCGTAGAACTTTGATTAATTACACTATATTAATGTAAATAATTGTATTGTATTTTTTGTTTTTTTTACTTTTCAGGCCGTCACATTGCTGGCAATGTGGGTCATACCATTAGGCATATCATTCTTCTACGGTTTCATACGCTTTATAATTATATGGTCCATATTTTCCATTATCACAGCTGTTGTGATAAGAAAAGCTATAAGTAAACCCATTGAAGGATCTACGCCAAGGTACAGAACATAATATTTTAATTTTATTACCTATTATTTATTAATTGTATTCTTTCAGATTGGTCTACAAATGGTTTTACTTTATTTACAAATTAAGCTATGGTCTGGGCATTGTGGGCTATCTGATAATGATGGCCACATTTTTGGGTTTTAATTTCATATTCAATCAGGCACCACATATTTGGATGGATGTCGGTCTTATGTTTGTATTCTATGGCCTTTACATTGGGGTTTTGGGTAGGGATATTTCGGAGATATGTTCAGAGAGAATGGCATCATTAGTGGGGGTAAGTGATAACTGATTATTGTTTTATTTGAAAAATATACCTTAAATTTATTTTATTCCATAGTACTACACGCCCCAGGGAATTCCCACCAGACATTTGGAGGAAAATGTTTGTGCTGTCTGCGGTAATCAATTGTTGGTTAGTGAAAAGGAAGAAGGCATCATAGAGAACACATACAAACTATCGTGTAATCATGTGTTCCATGAATTCTGTATACGTGGCTGGTGTATTGTTGGCAAAAAACAAACGTGCCCCTATTGCAAGGAAAAAGTTGATCTCAAAAAGATGTTCTGTAATCCGTGAGTTAAACAATTTTTTATGATTTTCAATGTTTTTTATAAATTATTTTTATTTATTCTTTTAGATGGGAACGTCCACATGTCCTGTATGGTCGTCTCTTGGACTGGATTCGTTTTTTGGTAGCATGGCAACCATTAATATTCTTCATTGTACAGGGAATTAACTATGCTTTAGGCTTAGAATAGTAACAAATTCCCTTAATTTCCTAGTCAAGCTATAGTTGTACAAACAGCCAGACACACTCATACCTAAATATAGCAAATAGAAATTATATTTTCACATGCCATTTTTTCTCCTTTTTGGGTTAACTTTTGTGTTTTTCGTTTAACTTATTTTTTTGTTCTCCCACCAAAAAAACAAAATATAAACATTGTTTTCTTTTATAAGTGATTTAGCTATAAAAAATAAAGTCAACAGAAAATATGTATAATTTAATTTTATACAACCAAAAATAAAACATGCCTTTTCAAGAATCTCCAAAAGAGTTTTTTTATACCCTCAGCAATATGGCTGCAGAGTGTATATATAATTTGATACAGCCAAAACGTGCCTCATCGAAATAACGGTTTTAGACCCTAGGTCTCTTTGGACCAAATCCGTTTCAAGACATTTGGAGTCGATCTAGCGATGTCCGTCTGTCTGCCAGGTGCGCACGATAACTCTTGAAGGGACTAGCCCATTTGATCCATACTTGGTACATCGTAATATTATTGTCAAACTTAGATCGAGTTCGGAGATGGACAATATCGGTCCACTTCTTCTGGTACCTCCCCCACAAAATGTCAAAATTTTCAAAGAAAATAATTTACTGCACAGAAAGAGAAAGAACAATCCGATTTTGCTTCAACTTTGCGAATCCTAATATTTGCATCATATTTGCTAGGTCAGGTGCGAAAATTGACCATATCGGTCGGAATAATTATAACTCTTATAAAATGTGATGTTTCCGATTGTCTTCAAATTACACGCATCACGATATTTTCATCAACCCAAGGTTTGGAGTGAAGGTGAAATAAATTGGTCCACTTATTCTGGTACCTCCCTCACAAAGGGTCAAATTTTTGAATATCCATGAAGCTCATAAAACGCGTAACTAACATCCGATTCCATTCAGACTTGGCACATCTCAATATTTCCATAAATACAAGATTTGTTATAAAGATGGTAGAGATCGGATCATTCCTTCTGGTACCTCCCCCACAAAAGGGTCAAAGTTTTGAATAACAAAAACGATCATAAAATCCGAAATAAAACTACGATTCTAATCAAACTACACACATCACAATATTTTTATTATCCCAAGGTTAGGTGTAAAAATGGGATATATCGGTCGACTTCTTCTGGTACCTCCCCCACAGAAGGTCAAAATTTTAAATATCCATGAAGCTCATAATACGCGATATTAATATCCGATTCCATTCCAGACTTGGCACATCTCAATATTTCCATGAACACAAGATTTGTTATAAAAATGGTAGAGATCGGACCAATTCTTCTGGTACCTCCCCCACATAGGGCTCAAGATTTTTGAAAAACAAAACGTTCAAAGAAAGCAAATTAAATATTCAACTCTTTTCAAATTTTACACATCCAAATATTTTTGCTAACGCAAGATCTCTTGTGAAGATGCTATATATCTGCCAACCCCTTTCTAGTACTTCACCCACAAAGCTTCACAATTTCCAATACTTATATCTGTCTTGCGAAACAATTGAACGATTCTTTACAACTTGCTAATTATTTCTCTTAACCAGAAATCTGATGTGGTTTATCGAAATTTATGATTCCACATAAAATTGAATACAAATTTACGATTTCCTTTAAATTTTGCACATACCGTTATTTTTATCTATATCAGATGAATTATGAAAATGGAATACTTGGTCCGATAAAACTGTTAGCCCAATCATTTTTCAAAAATTTATACATATCTCATAAAAAGTATAGGAAGTAGTCGATCCCATAGTATACGAAGCTGTCGATCTACATCTGGCACATTGTAATAGTTTTATCAGTTTTAGGTCAGATACGAATTGGTCAATATTGTCCAACTGCTTCGGAACCTTACCCATAAAGAGTCAACAGTTTGGATAATCATAACGCAAGGCTGGGGGTATAAATCTGTCGGCAAAACCGACTGATACTATTTTACTTGTTTCTGATACGCTATTCTCAAATAATTTCCTCATTTATAGATTTTGTACAATTATGCGATTTTTATTTGGTATTTAAAAATAAATATGTATATGTTGATATTGTCATTGGGCTCACATTTCAAATTGCTTTTGTTTTTGTTTTTTTTTTTTTGTAAGTTTCACTTTATTCAGAACTATGTGTAGGCATCAAGTCTTTTTTTTTTTATTTCAAATCATAAATTAACAAATAACAATCATTTTTTAAAAAAATGTTACATATCATTATCATACAACAACAAGCCAATTAAAACCAATGAAAAAAAAAACTATATGAACTCAGTTCGAGAGAAAAAAAGAGAATCACAAAATGGCTTTCATTGCAGGGTGCAGCAACAAATTGTGTTGTTAAACATCACTATTTCTACTTAATTGTTGGTTGGTGTTTCCTTTTCAGCAATATCACCAATATAAAGTTCTACACATAAATTTAGAGTCTTTATAAATATTATAGGCACTGAAAATTGATGAGATGGGTTTTATAGATTTCAGAATATTAAAACAAAAAAATTCAAATCATAAAAAGGGAAAACATGCCATGGGAAAATTGTTGTCGGCTTACATACATACATTTTAATAATAATATTTAATATGATGCACATATTCTATTTACAATTATTTGTGTTTTAGAATAGATTTATAATTTCAATGTATGTGATGTTCTGCAGTTTGTTTTGTTCTTTTTCTTAAGTAGATTTCATTATTTTAAATATTAACAAAAACTAAAAAAAAAACAAGGAAAAACAACGTTAATAACTAGAGGCGCCAATCATTGTGCGTATTTGTTCGAAGGACAGCCAGAATGTAAGAGACCATGGTGCCATGCGTATCCAGCAAGGCAAGAAACCTTTGTATAGTGCTGTAAAGCCTTCTTTGTTTACAGTTTGACGCAGACAGTCTATGGAACCTTTATACAAGAGGCCACTGCAAGAAAAAAAAAAAATAAAATTGAAATGGATGATAAATAATTTATCATAATTAATAATATATAAATAAATATTTTAAATATAACAAGTAAAATAGTATTGGTCGGTTTTGCCAACAGATGTATACCCCCAGCCTTGAGTTATGATTATTAAAACTGTTGACCCTTTATGGGAGTGGTTCCGAAGCAATTGGCCAATACTGACCTAAGACTTATATAAATATTACAAAGTGCCAGATTTGGACTATATCGACTACTTTCTATACTTTATGAGATATATGCAAATTTTGCGTGAGGTAACACATATACCGAACCGAAGTATTCCATTTTCATACTTCATCTAATACAGAAAAAAGTATTGGTATTTGCAAAATTTAATATAATTATTCAACATTTTGACCCCTTGTGGGGGAGGTACTTAATGGAGTGGGGCTCATTATGTCCGTATTATCTATCACTGATGCAAATATTAGGATTTGCAAAGTTGGAGCAAAATCTGATTATCCTTCTTTGGAATAAATTTTTTTTTTTTGAAAATTTCGAACCGATGTTGTCCATCTCCGAACTCGGTCTAAGTTTGATAATTATATTACGATGTACCAAGTTTGGACCAAATCGGATACTCCCTTCGAGACGGACGGACATCGCTAGATCAACTACAAATGTGCTGAAACAGATTTGGTCCTAAAACCGTTATTTCGATGACACGTTTTGGCCGTATCAAATGATATACAGGGTGAGATAAAAAAAACTGCAACAAAGTCAAACGTCATAATTTGTGCTTTTTTAATTTTATTGAAAGAAATTAAAAAATGTCGGAAATAGCAGCAAATTTTAGAATAAGTTTAGATTTGTTCGAATTATAGCCTTCAAACGGCCAATGAAACCGTCACACGCTGCCCGAATGTTGCTCTGCGGTATTTTGGCCCATTTCCGGCGAAGCGCTTGCTTAAGGTGATCGACACATTGGTATTTTTTAGTGTCAACCTTGCTTTTCAAAATACTAAAGACAGAATAGTCCAACGGATTGGAGATTTTGGTGGCCATTGTGAGCAGGAAATGAAGCGACCATTTTTGGGTCCAATGTCTGCGGCCAAAATGTTTGCGTGCCCAAGGCTTTAATACAGCTTTCGAAATATTTCTATGGGACAAGTTTGATCCGAATTTGAAGTTATTTCTCAATATTTGCTGATCGCTAACACTATTATAATTTCATCCCTTTTTTCGTGAAACAAATTCTGCAATTTGGCAGTATTTGTTAAAAAAAAAACAAAGTTAAATATTCTGAAACAATACCTAATACATAAAACCTTGTGGGCAAGATTAGATTTTTTTATCAGATAAAATGGTTTTGTTTCTGGTGTTATTACTTTGACAATTCACCATAGCTACAAATGTCCAGAATGTTTGGTTTCATTTATGTCGTATGATTGTTAAAACCCAGACAAATACATTTATATTAATAGCCACTTTAAAATGTTCTTTTAGTTTACCCATAAACTAACCGAGTCTGCCGAGTCTAGATAAGTTCACAGAGCTAATTTTTCTAGAAAATAACACATGACATGTTCAATTAAAAACTTAATCAAATTATAAGGTTTATTCGTTTTTTTTATATCAGATTATTTCAGTGATTAGCAATCAATCACATAGAGATTATGGTAGAGACCGTGCCTCCACCATTAAACAAAAATACATTTTGATTTGATGTTATAAAGTCAGCGCAAATGACGGACAATGTGCTAATTGTCGCAGGGGGGCTAATAATTCTTCACAAATAAAATTTTTTATTTATACAAACACCTGATAATAAATAATCAAACTTATAATCTAATATGCCTTTGCGTAGACCAACATATTATCAGCGGGAAAATAATTCAAAACAATAATAAAAGTTTGCAATAAATAAAAAAATTCCTTGTCTATATCAGAAAATAAAAAAAACGAGTGTAGAATTTTAAATTAGTATTTTGATGCATGTGATATTACTTCAAGATTGTAAACAAACATGGAATCATCTGTGTTCGGTACGAACGAACTTGAAAATTGTATTTCAATTTCAGGATTTTAGTTCTGATTATGTGGTGTAATATTTTTTCAACTCAAAAATCCACATTTATAGGTGTAACAGTCGGTTTTGCCGACAGATTTATACCCCCAGCCTTGAGTTTTGATTATTCAAATTGTTGACCTTTTATGAGGGAGGTTCCGAAGAAGTTTGTAAATATTAGGGTATCTGACCTAAGACTGATATAAATATTACAAACGTGCCAGATTTGGAATATATCGACTACTTTCTATACGTTATATGTGCAAATTTTTGGAAAATATGGAAATATATGTGAGGTATCACACATATAGTCGACCGAAGATAAAAATATTGGTATATGCAAAATTTGAAGGTAATCGAAAATTTATATACAATTTTATGCGTAATCATAAATGTCGATAAATTACAAATTCATATTGGATTTCTGGATAAGTGAAATATATAGACATAGCAAGTTGTAAAGAATCGCCGACTTGTTTCGCAACCGTTATGACAGATATAAGTATTGAAAATTGTGACCCTTTGTGGGGGATGTACCAGAAGGAGCTCGCGGTTATATACCACCTACCAACAGATCTTGTGTAAGCAAAAGTGTTTGTATGTGCGAAATTTGAAATTTCATGAATAATGAAGAGAACTAGATGTTTATTTCGGATTTTATAATCGTTTTGGTTATTCAAAACTTTGGTCCTTTGTAACAGAACTTGTTTTGATGGAAATATTGAGATGTGGCAAGTCTGAATGGAATCGGATGTTAATTTCGTGTTTTATGAGCTTCATTAATACTCAAAATATTGACCCTTTGTGGGGAGGTACCTGAATGAGTGGACCGATATATCCCATCTTCACACCAGACCTTGGCTTAATAAAAATATTGTGATGTGTGTAATTTGATGAGAACCGGATTCTTATTTCGGATTTTATAATTGTTTTGGTTATTCAAAACTTTAACCCTTTGCGAGGGTGGTACCAGAAGAATTGGTCCGATCTCTATCATCTTTATAACAGATCTTGTGTTGATGGAAATATTGAGATGTGGCAAGTGTGAATGGGATCGGATATTAGTTTCCTGTTTTATGAGCTTCATGCAAATTCAAAATTTTGACCCTTTGTGGGTGAGGTACTAGAAGGAGTGGACCGATATATTCCATCTTCGCACCAGACCGTGGGTTAATAAAAATATTGTGGTTTGTGTAATTTCAAGACAATGGACCACATACATCACATTTTATAAGAGTAATAATTATTCAAAATTTTACCCTTTGTGGGGTAGTACTGGCTGGAGTGGACCGATATTGTCCATTTCCGCACCTGATCTGGCACTGATGCAAATATTAGGATTTGCGAGGTTGTAGCAAAATCGAATTAATTTTTCCCGTTATGTCGCATAAATTATTTTCTTTCAGAATGATGACATTTTGTGTGGGAGGTACCAGAAGGAGTGGTTATAAAATAATATTAATATGTATCAAGTTTGGATGAAATCGTATACTCCCTTCGAGAGTTATCGCGCGCTCCAGCCAGACAGGTAGACGGACGGACATCGCTAGATCGACCTGAAACTAATTTGGTCCAAAGAGACCTAGAACCGTTATTTCGATATACCCATATGTAGCCATATTGCTGAGGGTATACAAATCGATTATCGTAGTTCAGAGAATCCCTTTACTTTTAACTTGGTTGACTTTTCTCAAAAACATTTCCGAAAATATATCATAAGTTTTTTTATAAAATTGTTTCTTAATATTTAGAATATTCCATCAAACATGTATACATACCGGCCCTTTTCATCCGTGGGTTGGTTCATAACTCTCGTCTTTACCACATCTGCAGGTGTGCCCAAAAACGCTGCAACAAAACCGGCACATATTGATGCCAGTACATGCACCGTATGACAATCGGGCATGTGTAATTTGTTCATAATCATGTGCTTGATTGTATCATAAGTTGTTAAATCACCTGCAAAAACAAGACAATATTTGTTATTGAATTCATATATTTGTCTGTTCCAGGACCTGCGAGAATCCACTATTTCTATATATTTTTCGATGCCATAGAGGAAAATTTGAATCGGGGACAAATTTTACATTATTGCAGAGCAATACTTTTTGGTTTAACCATACTTGCCTAAATTAACTAAAGCTGCACGCTGTACATTTGGTATGCTGCCCTTCCACAGTCCCTTGATACCGCCACGACGGACAATCTCTCGGAAAGCATGAGCCGCACCATGAACTCTGGGCGGTTCACCCATTAGACGACGTTTGCCTTCCATTTGTATTTGTACTTTAACCAAATCGGCTGGTGAGGCCAGCCATTGTGCTAGGCCACCGGAGGAAACACCACACAGGGCTGATTTCCACAGGGGCAGTGCTACATTTTGGCCACTTTCATTTTTACCCAATTCTTTGCGCAAAAAATCATAAGTACATATTCTCACGCCGCTAAGGGAATAATGAAAATATTCTTTAATTATATTATGGAAATTAAATTTGAATAAAAATATTTTTAGCTGTAGTTACCTATAAACAATGTGTCTGTATAAGGCTGGGGTAACACCTTGCCACAATTTCAATGGGCCCTCTTCTTTGACAATGCCTGCCGCCGTGGCCATCATGCCACGATATTGGACCTATAAAAAGTGCAATATTTTTCGTTACAAAAGTTATTGATTTAATTGATTTTTAATTAATTTCAATAAGCAAAGCAAAAACAGCATTGATTCGATCAATCAATGTTGCTGTTATTTGTGAGAGGCTTGCTCCACACATATTTGTGTTTGTAAAACTTTTACAAAATACTCTTTAATGGAGATGTCTATCAGACTGATTATTTGCACTCAATTTCCAACACCTGGAAGAGCCTTGTGGCTCTGGGAACTAAAGATGTGTTAAAGCTCACCGTTTAAAATCACTTGAGTCCACCATTTTAAAATGTGAAACCAGAGTGAGATGAAAAAACTGCAACCAACTTCAGACTGCTGTCATTACTAAGCCAGTCGTCCGACAGCTCTTAAAATTATTCCAGTGACAGCTCATTATATTGTTTACAAGCGTACAAAAGCATTATGGTGAGAATTTTCCACAAAAAAAGTTATTCGTGATGGAATTCAAGCGTGATAGTATGATTTCTTTATATTTGGCTGGAAAACCACAAGTGGCTATCGTTAGGGCACTCCAACATTTAAATATGAATAAATCTTTTGTGTCTCGTACCATCGCTTGTTACCGTGATACTGGTAGCGTAGCCCGACATCAAGGAAGTAGACGGAAGAAAACAGTAACATCAGCAGAAATGGTTCGAAAAGTAAAGTAGCGACTTAATCGAAAACCGCGTCGCAGTGGCCGGAAAATGGCTCGTGAGCTGAACATATCGCAATATTACATTCGACAAGCCAATGAAATTCCAAAAGGTGCAAGAGCTAAAGAGTTGCTCCACTTGGCCGAAAGTGAAGTGACGAATTTGGTTTTTTCCGATGACAAAATGATCGTGTTTACTTGCCAAAGAGGTCAGCTGAAAATGTGCACCTTCGGCTGACCACCAGAACTCAAGCGCTGGCCATTTTGATGGTGTGAGCCGCCATAACAGCCGATGGTCGCTCTCCGCTCGTAATAATCGACCGAGGCATCAGAATAAATGCCGAATATTATCGGGAAAATATTCTGGAGGGTGTATTAAAGCCATGGGCACGCAAACATTTTGGTCGCAGACCTTGGACATTCCAACAGGACTCAGCACCATCGCATTTAGAACGCGCCACCCAAGAATTGTCAAAAATAAGGTTTCTCTCTTCATTTCCAGCGCACAATGGCCACCAAAATCTTCGTATACCAATCCCTTGGACTATTGTCTGGAGTATGTTGGAAAGCAAGGTTGGCACTAAAAAATACCAAAGTGTTTGTCACCTCAAGCAAGCGCTTCGCCTGGAGTAGGCCAAAATACCGCAGAGCAACATTCGGGCAGCGTCTGACGGTTTGAATGGCCGTTTAAAGGCCATAATTCTTGCCAAAGGTGACAAATTCGAACAAATCTAAATATATTCTAAAATTGGATGCTATTATCAATATTTTTTGCTTTCATTCAATAAAATTTAAAAAAAATGTAAAAATTATGGCGTTTGACTTTGTTGTAGCTGTTTTACCTCACCCTGTATAGGTATCAATTAAAAGCTAATGTACTTATCCAACAAGTGCTCATATGATTAAAAAGGTTCCAGAGTTGTATCAAAAATATTGATTTTTGATTTTGGAAATGAAATGCCAAAATATAGTTGACATTATAGCCTTTCTAAAATGCTTATCCTTCTTGGATTCAGATATTTGGATCTTTGAACCCGGACGAGCCCACTATGTTCAGTATATTGAAATGATGTTTTCAGTACAAATTCGAGAGTTATACCCAAAGAAATAGGTCTATACTGTAGACTAGTGTAAATGCAAATAACAAACAAAACATTTGAATATACAACTGTAGATATGTGCGTAGGTACATACATTATAACAAAAAATAAATAAATACACTCAGTACAAAGTTCACTTACCGGCGCCTGGCCTTTTCCACCGGCTGCAACAGCATTTTTACTGGAGGCTTCTCCTTGTATTTGTAGGCGGGTTTTTGTTAAATCCAATGGATATGTAACAAGTTCTGCATTTGCTGCTCCAATAACCGATACAATATATGTACAGGCGAAACTATCGGCAAATGAAAGGACTGGACGTAACTGATTGCGGGTGCCGGTTGGAGGAACTGCATTAGTAGGATCATCTGCTGTAGAGGAAGCAGCAGCAGCAGCTGTTGCTGCTGTAGTATTTGGCACCGCTTGCTTTTGCATTATTGCGGCGGCAGTAGAGATGTTGTTGAATGGCCTTTAAGTTCACTTTGCTGCTATTTTTGGTTATAAACAAAACAAAAAAGTCCAAGAGATAGGAAACAAAACTAGTTCTTTGTGTGTTTTTTGTTTGGCCTTTGGCTTGGTGCAATAGAATAAAAAACGACAACGACGACGGACGACACGTTGGAAATGATTACAAAAAAAGGCAGTGTCATGAGACAATTTTAGCGTGAGAAGAAATGCCCAAATTATAAATGAATATATAATGATAAAAAAAAAAAAACGAAAAAAACCAACAAAAATCGCGCCAACTATTGAATAATTTCACAAATCACAAATGATTGGCGTTGAGATAACCCATGTCACTTTGATGATTACACTTGCTAGTTCTTGACGAAATCATGGCAATAGCTAGAATTGTTTCACTCATTCCCCATATATCCTTTTTCCATGAAAATCGCATTCGATCAGACACTACCATTTACAAATCATTGCAAAACACTTGGCTGGTTTCAACATGCACATTCATGTACACCCAACACCCCCACCCACACAAACACTGACACTGGCTAGTTATTACAAACAAAAACTTTCGCTTTCATTGTTTATATCACAACACTCATGAACTCACGATAAATATATTTAGTTGAGAGCATGCAATTTTCCACTATTTTTCACAAACAACTTTTTCTTCAGTTTGTGATCCTTATGTTGTCATTTTTTTTGTTCTTCGCGTATCTTCGTCTGAAACGTTTTACATAACTTTCGTGGGGGCTATTTTAACTATTTGTTCGCTTCTGAATTCGATTGTGTGTGCTTTGTTTTATGATATTGTCGAATCGGAATAATGCGCGTTATAATTCCGTTGGGGTTTTGGCAAATATACACCTCGCGTTGTCTTATCAATTGAACTAAAAAAAAAACACAACAATAACAATTGAACAAAAAAAGACCGACATATCAGCTGTTGTATGGTTACCAAATATTGAATATTTGAGGTTGTACAATTGGCACGAAACATTTGCTCTGTTCAAAACTTTACGACGACAACCTATTTTCCCTTTATGATATCGAAAATAATTGCAAAAATAGTAGATTATTGCAGGTTCTGCTGATTTAACTCTATGGTAATACAAGGTCAATTTTTTTTAAAGTTTTTTGATTTAATTTCATTTCTTGATATTCAATTGATATAAACTTTCAATATGTGAACATATTTTTAGTCTAATAATAGAAAAACTCGCTGTTATACTTAACAAAACGCCAGCGGCGATGTAGTTGAAACTTTTTTCGAGGTTAAGGAACAGCGAGACCACTTTAGGTAATATAGTCGTATATTTCATGCTTTATGTACAGGGTGAGATAAAAAAACAGCAACAAACAAAAGTCAAAAGACATATTTTTAAATTTTATTGAATGAAAGCAAAAAATGTTGTTGGAATGTCCAAGGTCTGCGACCAAAATGTTTGCGTGCCCAAGGCTTTAATACACCCTCCAGAATATTTTCGCGATAATATTGATGCCACGGTCGATTAATACGAGCGGAGAGCGACCATCGGCGGCCTACACCATCACCATGGCCGGCGGTTGAGTTCTGGTGGCCAACCGAAGGTGCACATTTTCACCGGAAATTTTTTCCAGTGGTAGGTATTTTTATCCTGATCCCGGGAAACTATTTTTTCTTGGGGGACGGACCCGGGACCCCAAAGTCCTGGTTCAAGACCCCGACTAAACCCGTATCCAATTACCCGATATAGACAATATAGGTATCGTTGAAAATACCTATCCAACAAGTGGTAACATGACGGAGTAAGTGGTCATGGTTCTGAAGTTATGGTCAAATTATCTATATTTTGGACCCGGATTTTTTATAAAACCACCAAAAAGTCAAAATAGGGCCCATTATGGGGGTCAACAAAATTGATGCCAAATTATAGCTGACACACTTACCTTTCCATAATGCTTCCTTTTTCGGGTCCAGAGATAAGGGTCCTTCCATCCGCATAGCCCGATTCTAACCAGTTCGTTAAAATTATGTTTTCAGTAAAAAAAGTTTATTTCGCCTAGCCGCCCGGATCCGGGTTCGTCCCCCAAGAAAAAATAGTTTCCCGGAATCAGAGTAAAAATACCTATATCTGGGAAAAATTTCGAAAAAATCGAAGAGTTTTTACTAAACTAGAGTTGTTCCCATTTTTAAAATGTTTTGTCAAAAATAATAAGATTTTTATACGACGCAAATTGGAAGATGTTATTATATGAATTTTCAACAATTTTTACAAATATCAACAATTTTTATTTCAAAATCGGTTTGACAGTTCATTGCCCCAGCAGCTACGTCGATGCGTCTAGCTGTATTTTTCTACTATGACCATAGACAAATGAAAGTATAAACTAAAAAGTTTTAAAATTTACCCCTTCCGGTAGATGTCACTATGATTGATCTTGGGCCAGTCAAGTCACTCAGGGCTAGTGAAGTCACTCGACTTCGAAAACAATTTATTCATTTTTCTGCTATTTAAGTTCTATATTTTTATGTTTCACGACAGATTTGGATAATGTAAAAATAAACAAAGTCACTGTTTCGTTTTAAATTGATAAATAATAAAGAATCATAAAAATATTCATTATTTTGTATTTTGAGAGAATTGAGTGAGTCTACTGAACCTCTCTCACAGCATGAACGACATCTATTGAAGCACTTTTTTCGAAGATAACAGATGAGACAACTTTTTAGTCTATACCTAATTTGTCTATGCTATGACCTTACCTTTTTATTATACTATGTCCAAAACTATATTCGAAATTAACGTCGAAGATGGCAGGGTGACCCTACCTTTCACCAGCTGTTTTTATTTATCCGCATTATCTTCATTCTCTTCATTCTAAACAAACTTTTTATGCTTTGGTTTCACATTCTAAACAATTATTTTTGCGATTTTTGTGACCGAACTCAACTGGAAGTGACATCCACCGGGTGATATTGGTGATTTTTCTTCTATTAATACAGGTATAATTTGAATAATTGTTCCTTACTCTGATTTGCTTCATCCCTTCTATCTATTTATACCAATTTCTTTTTTCTCTAAGGAACGAAGAAAGTTGTTTCAAAATACTAAAGGAATTTGGTTTCGAGTGTATTAAATATTTCCTCAATGGACAAATCCAAAGGCAAGCATCGTCAAGATGCCGAAGAAAAGACCAATTTAATTGATTTCTCATTTTGCGACCACAAGTCCGCTTTTGATCATTTGCTGTTGAGTAATGATCAACGTAATTCCCTTATTGAAGATCGCAATGATTTTTGGAAATTCGTTAACAAATATGAAGCTATGCTCAAAAATATGGGTCAACCTGTTTTACCACAACCTCTAGAAGACGGGGACGATTTAGCTGCAGCAACATCCAAAACTAATAAATTGCACTGTATTCCCATTAGATTGAATGAAGAAGCGAAGAAAAATAGGCATTTCTCTGATCACCACAGAAAATATTCTACAGGTGGTGGTGGAGATGTTACAGCTTTACGTGAAAAGCAACTTCAGGAAATTATTCTAATATATTTGGATTTCAAACAAAAGGAAAGATTTGCCAAAATCAAAAAGTTGAGGAAAACACAGCAAAATCTACCGATATTTAAGTACAAAGATGCTTTGAAGAAATCTCTGGATGAAACTAATGTTCTTATCATTGCCGGAGATACTGGCTGTGGTAAATCTACACAAGTGCCACAATATTTGTATGAATTTGGTTATAAGAGTATTGGTAGGTTGAGGAAAAATGTATTTGTTTGGTTTCTGTATTTTAGAATTTTATAATTCCAGCATGTACTCAGCCGCGTCGCCTGGCTTGTATCTCCTTGTCCAAACGTGTTGCCCATGAAATGCTGGATGATTATGGATCGACGGTTGGTTTCCAGATTCGCTTTGAGAAAAACAAAACTCAGCACACAAATATTTTGTTTATTACAGAGGGTTTGCTCCTGCGACAGGTAAGATAATAAAAATTAACTCACATTTGCATATCCTAACCCAGTTTTTCTACAATTTTAGTTAGCTCTGGAATGTAACTTGGAACAATATGATGTTTTGATATTGGATGAAATCCATGAACGTAATTTGTATGGTGACTTCTTGTTGGGCGTTACCAAATGTTTGCTGCGTGCCAAACCTACGCTTAAATTGATACTCATGTCTGCCACCATCAATGTTGAGCTATTTCACAACTATTTCAAAGATGAGGGTGCAAAGTTACTGCAAGTTCCGGGTCGTTTATATCCCATAAAAACGGTTTATATGCCGCCACCATCCTTGGAGTTGCAGGCAAAGACTTCGTCGCGTTCACAAAAATCATCTGGCCGATTGGATCCCGCACCATTTGTGCAGGTTTTAAGTTTAATTGATGAAAAGTATTCAAGTGGGTACTACAGATCTACAATACAGTTCAGTCGAGTAATACAATTTATTCATTTTGTATTTTTTCAGCTACTGAGCGTGGCGATGTATTGATATTTGTAAGTGGTGTCAACGAAATAACCACTGTATGTGATGCGGCCAAGGAATATGCCGAACAACAATCTCATTGGATTATCTTACCATTACACAGTGGTCTGTCGTTGGCAGAACAAGATAAAGTAAATAGAAAACAAATAGCGAGACACATATATCTTTGACCTATTCCACTTCCACAGGTATTTGATTACGCTCCCGAAGGAATGCGCAAATGTATTGTTTCCACAAATATAGCAGAAACTTCTTTAACTGTGGATGGTATACGTTTTGTGGTGGATTCGGGCAAGGTAAAGGAAATGTCTTATGATGCATCCTGTAAAGGTCAACGCTTAAAAGAATTTTGGGTATCAAAATCTTCAGCGGAACAGCGTAAAGGTCGTGCCGGTCGTACTGGACCAGGGGTAATATATTAATTAACGATTTTTAATGTTTTATTGGTTTTTCAACAATTTCTCCATTAGACATGCTTTCGTTTATTTAGTGAAAAGCAATATGATGCCTTTGAACCCTATCCTACACCGGAAATCTTTCGTGTTCCACTCGATTCGATTCTATTACAAATGGTATCGATGGGTCTGCCAAATGTGAGACAATTTCCATTCATAGAATCGCCTGATGAAGAAAGTATTGAACAGACAATATTGGGATTAAAGCAACATGTAATTACCAATGACACAGGAATTCATTTAACAAAAATAATCCATTTTTAATCTAGAATGCCTTTACTCCGGACGAAAAGATAACCGCCTTGGGAAAGTCGCTGACGAATTTACCCGTAGAAATAACTATTGGCAAAATGTTACTAATGGGCTGTGTCTTTCCGGATGTGGAGAAGATTTTAACTCTTGCCGCTGTCATGAGCGTACAAAATCCATTTACAAATCGTGCTTATACCGATCCAAAATGTGAGGTTAGATCACTTGAAGTTACAATAATGTTTTGTCAGAGTGATTTTTGTTTACATTTTATTTTTTATTTCATTACATAGGAAGCCCGTTCTGCTCTCGAATCAGATCAAGGTGATATATTTACATTGTTAAGGGCCTATCATGAATGGCTGTTAATAAAATGGGAAAATCGAGAGAGCACACGCAAATGGTGCCATAAATTGGGTATCGAGGAACAAAGGTAAGTTGTGACAAGGTGTTATTTTTTTTTTGGATACAACAAGTGAGGTTTATAAATACAGTGTCTTTGGCAACAGTAATCCGGAGAAAAATTCGGAGAATATTTTTGTTAAAGCAAATTAATTCACAGTATAGTATTTAGGGAGTCTTTTAGGTCCTTTTCTCCTTCAAAAACGCTTAAAAACTACAATAACTGGATCTAAAATTAAATTGTTGGGTTTTTTTATATTGTGAGATATATATGGTCTGTTCCCAAACTGCAAGAATGTAAAATTTTTGCCACTATAACCGGTTTTCCCCTTATGATATCCAACAACAAGTAAGCAAAGGCTATAGTTGTGCGGAGCCGACCATGTGATACCCTACAAATCGAATTTGGAAGATTTCGCTTTTGAAATGATGTCATAGAGCCCTGCTCAGATCTTACCTATAGCTTTTTGATCGGGGGCATTTGTCCAATATTTACGCACTCCCTCGATTTACCTTCAGACATATGGCTACAGATGGTACATATCATTTGATACGGCCAAAACGTGACTCATCGAAATAACGGTTTTAGACCCTAGGTCTCTTTGGACATTTTGAGTCAATCTAGCGATATGCGTCCGTCTGTCTGTCTGGCTGGTGCGCATAATAACTCTCGAAGGGAGTATCCGATTTGATCCAAACTTGGAACATCGTAATATTTTTGTCAAACTTAGATCGAGTTCGGAGATGGGCAATATCGGTGCACTCCTTCTGGTACCTCCCCCCACAAAAGGTCGAAATTTAAAAATATATATATTTTTTGCATGCAAAGAGTAAGGATAGTCCGAATTTGCTCCAACTTTGCAAATCTTAATATTTGCGTCAATGCTAGGTCTGGAGTGAAAATGGACAATATCGGTCCACTCCATCAAGTACCTCCCTTACAAATGGTCAAAATTTTGAATAATTACAACTCTCATAAAATGTGATGTAAGATTCCGATTGTATTCAAATTTCACATATCCTAATATTTATATTAACCCAAGGTCTAGTGCTAAGATGGAATGTATCGGTCCACTCCTTGTGGTACCTCCCCCACAAAAGGTCGAAATTTTCAAAAAATATATTTTTTGCATACAAAGAGAAAGGATAGTCCGATTTTGCTCCAACTTTGCATATCCTAATATTTGCGTCAGTGCTAGGTCTGGTGTGAAAATGGACAATATCGGTCCACTCCATCAAGTACCTCCCCCACAAATGGACAAAATTTTGAATAATTACAACTCTCATAAAATGAGATGTAAGATTCCGATTGTATTCAAATTTCACATATCCTAATATTTATATTAACCCAAGGTCTAGTGCTAAGATGGAATGTATCGGTCCACTCCTTGTGGTACCTCCCCCACAAAAGGTCGAAATTTTCAAAAATTATAATTTTTGCACACAAAGGGAAAGGATAGTCCGATTTTGCTCCAACTTTACAAATCCTAATATTTGCGTCAGTGCTAGGTCTGGCGTTGAGATGGAATATATCGGTTCACTCCTTCTAGTACCTCCCCCACAAAAGGTCGAAATTTTCAAAAAATATATTTTTTGCACACAAAGAGAAAGGATAGTCCGATTTTGCTCCATCTTCTCAAATTCTAATATTTGCGTCCGTGCTAGGTCAGGTGTGAAAATGGACAATATCGGTCCACTCGATCAAGTACCTCCCCCACAAAGGCTCAAAATTTTGAAGCTCATAAAAAGCGAAATTGACATCCGATTCCATTTAGGACTTGGTACACCCCAATATTTCCATTAACACAACACAGTCCAAACCTAGCACGTCGCAATATTTATATCATATTTATTTAGGTCCGATACGAAATGGCCAATAATGGCCCATTCCTTCGGAACCTACAGCATAAGGGGTTAAACATTTAAACATTTGAATAATCGTAACAGAAGTCAAAATATTTTTGAATAATCGAACGTTGACTGAGGCTATACATCTGTCGGCAAAACCGACTGATACTATTTTACTTGTTTTTTTTTTTCATTTTAGATTCTATGAAATCACCAAATTGCGGAATCAATTCCAAAATATTTTAGAATCCTGTAATATGACATCGAACACATCTAATGAAGATAATTTAACCAGCTCGGAAAGAGCAAAACGTCACGGTGAAGTTCGCATGTTGAAGGCGATAAAAAGAAAACAGAAATATCAGGAGCCAAGAAAGAGAAAAGTACTCAAACACCACACGCGTGATGGCGAAGAGGATTTCGATGATGCTGATGATGATATTAGGGATGTTGATTTTCGTTTGTATAATGATGCAGCCAAGTTGGAGGTAAGTTTTGCTGACTTCTGAAAAAAAAAGTTTTTTGATCGTAAAACATCTAGTTTTTATTCTTCAGGTTTTACTCAAATCATCCAAAACAGATAAACTACGTGATGTCTTGCTGTTAAAATTGATAATTGTGAGTGGATTTTATCCACAAATAGCTGTATCCGATGAATTCAACTACTGCAAGGGGGGGTCACAACAATTTTTCCATACCTTCTTGAAACCCTTCATCTCCATACATCCCAATTCATATTTTGCCAAATGTTTTGATATTCTTAAACTAAATGACAGTGATATATTGGAGAAACCTGCCTACTATCTTCCGAAGCAGGCATTAAGTGAAGCCCATCAGGTGTTGTGCTATCAGTAAGTTGAGATATTATTTTTCAGTAAAGAATTGTTTTCATTTAATTTCTTTTTTAAGAAATCTCCTGGAAACCGCCAAACCATATCTAATGAATTGTGTTCGAATGCCGGCAGCCCAAAGTTTGCTTTTGTTCTCATACAGCGTTGAAACAAATGCCTCAATCACCCGCATAATTTGTGATTCATGGTTATGCTTGGAATTCCCCACACCTGAGGTGGGATGTGAATTGCTATGCAGAGCCATTAAACTGCGAAGGTTATGGAATAAGCTATTAATGGATAAATTAACTGGTAAGTTTTTAGGGGTGTTGTGTGTTTTTAATTTAAGTTGAAAGATGTAGCTGCGGCCAAAAAATAATAGAAGTAGTGCTAATAATTTTTATTTTCTCCCCAAAAGATTTAGAATTGAGTGTGGATCATCCGAAAAACACAACGGATAATAAACAATTACAGGAAGATTTGTGGTATGATTTAATTAAATTCATGAGCCTCAATGTTGCCTATACCATCAAACGTTTATTGCCGGCCGATCTAAAGAATTTATATAATCATCAGCCGCTGGAGGATATAAATAATTGCAAAATAAATCCTTTTGCTAAAGACTATGAAATGACACCGAATACCGAAAAGGGTGGCATCAATATTGCAGAGAATTACATTTATAATTGGTAAGTTTTCTAGTACAATATCAACACCCCGATTTTTATTTTTTACTCTGATTTTTAATAGCTTACAAGAACAACAATGGTGTATAATTATGGACAATGAATTGAGTCAGCATACATGGACTTGCAGCTATTGTGATTACGAAATGGACTTCAATGTTATAGAAAAATTAATACATAAACAAAGTAAGTAATTGTATTTAAGTAATTTTTATAGCCTCAGCCATATGGCCACAGAGGGTATATATCATTTGATACGGCCAGGAACGTGCCTCATCGAAATTTACGAAATAACCCTAGGTATATTTTGGCCAAATCCGTTTCAGGACATTTATACTCGGTTTAGCGAGGTCCGTCTGTCTGTCTGGCTGGTGCGCAAGATAACTCTCGAAGGGAGTATCCGATTTGATCCAAACTTGGTACATAGTAATTTTATTGTCAAACTTAGATCGAGTTCAGGGATGAGCAATATCGGTCCACTCCTCCCACACAAAATGTCAACATTTTCAAAGAAAATATTTTTCTGCACAGTCCGGTTGCCTTAAAATTACGCACAACACAATATTTTTATTAGCCCAAGGTCTCGTATGAAGATGGAATATGTCGGTGCACTTCTTCAGGTACCACAGAGAGTAAAAATTTAGAGTAACCATGAAGCTCATAAAACACGAAATTAACTCCAGATTCCATTCAGATTTGGCACATCTCACATCTCAAACACAAGATATGTTATAAAGATTGTAGAGATCAGACCATTCCTTCTGATACCTTCCCCACAAAGGCTCAACGTTTTGAATAACCAAAACGGTCATAAAATCCGAAAGAAGCATTCAGTTGTCTTCAAATTACACACAACACAATATTTTTACTAACCCAAGGTCTGGAGTGAAAATGGGATATATCGGTCCACTCCTTCTGGTGCCTCCACCACAAAGAGTCAAAGTTTTGAATAATTATAAACCCCACAAAGAGTCAAAATGTTAAATATTAATGAAGCTCATACAACGCGAAATTAACATCCGATCTCAATACTTCCATCAACACGAGATCTGTTATAAAGATGGTAGAGATCAGACAATTTTTCTGGTACTTCCCTCACTAAGGATCAAATTTTTTCTTTTCTTTTTCTCTTCAAATTTCTCACATCCCATTATTTTTACTAACACAAGATCTGTTGTGAAAATGGGACATATTGCGGCATTCTTTCTGCTACATCGCCCACAAAGGATTTAAAAATTTTGAAAAACAAAACGCTCATACAACGCGAAATAAGCATCCAACTCTCTTCAAATTTCGCACACACACAGTTTTTTTAGCTGAATCAAAATTGTTATGAAGGTGATAGATATCTGCCAACCCATTATGGTACCTCTCCCACAAAGGGTCTCAATTTCCAATACTTATATCTGTCACAACTTGCGATACAAGTCAGCGATTCTTTACAACTTGCTATATCTAAACAATTATCTTAACTAGAAATCTGATATGAATATGTAATTTATCGATATTTATGTTTTCGCATAAAATTGGATATAAATGTTCGATTTCCTTCAAATTTTGAATGAACCAATATTTTTTTATGTAGTAGGTGAAGTATAAAAATGGAATACTTCAGTCCGCTACATCTGTTATTTCACGCTTATTTCCACATTTTCCAAAAATGTGCACATATCTCATATAAAGAATAGGAAGTAGTCGATATAGTCCAAATCTGGCACGTTTTAACATTTATATCAGTCTTAGGTCAGATACGAATTGGTTAATATTGGCCAACTGCTTCGGAACCTCCGCCAAAAAAGGGTCAACAGTTTGAATAATCATAATTCAATGCTGGGAGTATACGTCTATCGGCATAACCGACTGATACTATTTAACTTGTTTTTAATAAATTTTAATACTTTTAGTACTAATTTCCACAAACCCCTTCATCTGTCGGCATAACAGATTGATACTTTTTAATTTGTTTTTATCTAATATTGTTCTTTTTCGTTATCTCATTTATTTGCAGCTTGTAAAGAACGTCATAAATCGTCGGCAACAAATGAACGCAAATCAAGCAACGAACCAGCAACAACATCCACAAGCGGCAGCAACAGAAATAAGATTAAATATAACTGTACCATATGCTCTAAGGAATTATATCTAAGTCAAATAGATATATTAAAACATAAAAAAGTTTGCTCAAACAAATAAGGTATCATCCATGCATAAAATGTTCCCATAACATTGATAATGCTATACGAAATAAACTTTGAAATTCAGACCAAAAAAGACGATTTTAATTTAATAATGTTCTCTAGGATTTAAAATGTGTCCACAAAACGAAGTGTGTTTTGTTTTTTTTTTTCTTCTAGGCAGTAGACAACAACAATAAATAATTTATTTATTTATATGTTCATGCTCTACGACGATTTATAAACAATGATCTGGTATCATATAATTTTTTTGTTGATTTTCTTTCCTATAAACATCAGTGCTACAATGTACATTTAGACTTATGACTTGTAAGCAATCAAATAATAAAATGATGAATTAAAATTGAATTGATTTTTTTCTCCATTTCCATCTACTTCCGATTAATAGGCATAATCAAATTTGGCTCCAATTTTTGGAACACGTGGTGGCTTCTTGCGGGCATAGGTGGTCTAATAAGGAAGAAATGTAAATATAAAAAAGGAGATACTATTTTTATTACTAATTTACCTTTTTCTCGTTTGTATCTACAGTGCCCATGGTTTGAGCTTGGTTTGAGGTATTCCCATCACATGCATTATTGGCAGTTACAGATAATTGAGAAAACTAAAAATATAAAAAATTTTAATTTCTATTTTTCAAATATTCAATTGTTATTAAATTACATTTTGCGTTACGACGGCATCAGCTGTTTCCGTATTTGTATTTAAATTGTTTGGAGATGATGGTGTGGTGGACTTTCGTGCAACCTGTAGAGGTATAAACGCACCCTTTTGATTTAGGCTATTTGAAGCAAACATTTGTGCTGGATTCTGGCTTTGTGGATACACCTGAGGGGGTTGTTGTTGTTGAGCGACAGGAGATAAGTTGGGAAAACCAACCTGTGGAGGTCCAGCCATTTGACTCGGTGTGGGTAATGGTACTACGGTGCCACCTATAACAGCCATGGGAGCATTCGTTGTACTAAACGGCGCCTGTGGAAAGGGCAAACGTGGAAAACTATTTGTTGCAGGCAATCGTTGAGCATCCGATCTCCAGCTTGTCGGAGGTTGTGGCAATTGTGGCTATAATAAAACAGGAAAAATATACATAAACGAATTATTCTCATATATGATCTATAATACCATGTGGGGGATTTGCTTGTACTTTGGAACATAACACAAATTTGTTGTTGTGTGCTGAGGGGAGATGGGTGTGGTGTAAAGGGGGGGGGGAGGGGAGGGGTTGAAGCGAAGGGAAGAAGGAGAAAAATGGGGATGTGATCGTGTACAGAAAAAATACACACACACATAGAAATACAACAACCGTATGACAAAAACTAAAAGTGTTCCGCAGGAGAAAAATCTGCTCGATTTTGAAACGAGAAAAAACATGCGGACTTGATATTGGGGCTGCATCGAAAAATTGAGTTTGTTCAATTTTTATCGGCTCCCACGAGCTCTAACGCTTAAATTCGAGTTCCACTCTTTTTTCAAATTCGAGCTAATTTTTTGGAGGTCTGCTTTCAATTGACCAACAAAACCTTGAAGGTATCGCTTCGTATTTAGATTCGACACATATTTCATTGGTTTTCGAGTTATAGGTATACCATATATCACATATGTTAATTTAATTCATTTCCAAGACCATCTTGGTGTTGGGTTTTTAAACATACCTTACATACAGCAATTGGCGATGATGACGCCGTTGTTTGCTGGCTTCCCGCTGCTAATCCTAATAACGATTTTAAGGCATGTGTTCCATCATCTTGACCGTCTTGAACAATTGCCGAAGATGTCGTTGGTCCAGATGCGTTGAAATTCATGGACAGATTTGGAGGGTTTTGTAAAATCCTTATCGGCACATTTGGAGATTTTGGTGTGTTGGCCATAAAGAAATCCGCTGTGTTGTTATTCGAAACTGCGCCGCCGCCATTACCACCACCAACAGTATGTTTTACTTTGGTATTTGCAGATGGCATCCAAAAATCATTGCTGCCTTTTTGTACAACTTGTGGTGTTTTTACATCCTGCTGATTGGCCAAAACATTTGTGTTTGAATTATTTACAGATTGTTGATTTATGGCCCCTTGTTTCATGGATGAATTATTTCGACTTTCCTCCAATTGCAATTTGGCCTCGTAAAATTGTTCATTGTTGTTACCTAGAGAGCAAGAAGTACATCATTATTAGTACAAATTCTAACTGGGATGTTACTGACTCTCACTAAAACGGCCCATTTTTTTGTCGGACTATTTTATATTCAACGAATGTTCGATATTAATTTTTTCATTTTTTTTAGTATTTAGTGAACACACATGATATGGGCATAGGGGTGAGTTAGTGAAAGCCAGAATTGGAATTCATTTCATTTTCTATTACCTTGAGTAAATATTAAAAGGACGGAAGATTCTGGAACTTTATATACTCTTTGTGCAGCAATGCCATGTACATCATGGCCATTCGGCAAATGTTTGTCGAATAATACTTCATAGAAATTATCCACAGCCTTGACACATTCCAATCGAACCGGATTGGGATCACTTACCGGATAAATACCAATAACCGTGCCTTTGGCACCGAGAGGAACCTATCAATTTACATTTACATTAGTAGATATAGTAGACATTGTCGTAAGACAAAATGTGCTTACCATATATGTGGTTTTAACCACAACAACCCGATCGAATAATTGTATAGATCTTTTTGGTTTATAATGGCTGGGCAAGCTGACATCTGGTTTCAACAAGAGATGTGGCTTAACTTGTAATTTCACAGTCTTTACGGGCAAAGTCTAAAAACACAAAATCCTTAAATTAAACTATTGAAAAAAAAATGAATTTCTAATTTACCTTCAATTCTTCAATTGCTTCCAAGACCTTTTCCACAGCCTCCTTTTCCATTGTCTTTGAGCCGCAAGCTATTTTTTCCGCCTTCATGTGTGGCTGTTCCTTAAGCCATGCTGCAATCTCTTCTAATTTCCCCGAACCCACTTCTTTGGGGAATATGTCCTCTTCAAACAATAGCTCACTACGTTCAGAGGTACTGCTTAGATATTCAATGACCATTGGGAATCTTTCAATATAATCCTCAATTAATTTGATGGCCTTTGATGACATAAACCATTTATTGTCCATGCGCCGGGTGTAACCAACCAGCTCTTCTTGCGATTTGAAATATTTGAACTGTAAACCAATGTTGATTTTGGCAAGATTATCGGGAAGATCTGATTTTGGTCGGCGTGCACCTTTCACCACCAAAACTGGGCCAGTCAAACGGGCCAAACATTTAATTTGTATGCCAATTTGTGAGGCTGCCTGATATGAGTTAATGTAATCTTTTTCCAATTGACTTTGCATGTATTTGGCTTCGGAGAAATTTGGCTCGGGCAGAACGGTTATATTCACTAAATATTAAGTGAAAAGCGTCAGTACATAAATTTTGACAATTAAAAGTATGACATAATTACCCTTTAACCTTCCGCATTCATAAACCAACAATGGATTCATAACCACACCCTCACTGCCATAATAGGGATTGCCAACAAAAAATATCCGACTATTCTCTGGAAAAAGTTGTTCGATTTTCTTAACTTGATTTGACAAAGTGTTTTGTACGGCAATTTGTGATACAACGCCATGGGCGGGATAAGCCGTGGTGGTGGGACTCCACATTTCGTTTAAGGTCACCTTGCCTTGGCTGCCACAGATATACGATGAACCAATATAGGTGCGTACATGCACAAGTACTGAGAGATCAGGATATTCAATACCCATGCGTGTTGTTAAGCTACAATTGATATGTTCTTCTTTATTGAATTTCTGGTTAAAATTCTAAATTTCAATACTTACTGCTCCCTCACCGCCTTGGTGTGCAAGTCAAATCTTTTTGGATCCATGTCTTTAATGCCATCAACATCAATGTATTTCTCCCTGTTTGAAATGCCAACAACTTTGGATTTAACCAAATGTGGCCAACCAATATATACGGTTTGATTTAACATTTGCTCGGCTACCGTGAATATGTCATCAAAGTTTTTACGTGGCTGGGGTTGTAGGATCATATTTTCATTACGACTAGGATAGTCAAAGACCTTGACACGTGCACCTCTTATTTCAAACTAGAAAAATAGACAAAGAATATATATTTAATAAAATGTCAATTTGAATAAAAAATTTAATGTCATTCCCTCCAAGCAGCAAACATTGCTAAAAATAATATACCTTATATTCTAAATGTTTCATAGTTGGAAAACCAGGAAAGAAAACATGCCGCGCAGCATTTGGTAGTTCCACACAAACAGTCTTATCAGTGGCCACAGTAATATCTCTTGACCAAAATGGTTTCTCAGTGCAGAAAACATTGTACACAGGTTTCAGGGAGTAAATGCCTGGACATTGGCCTTGAGATTCAGGTGTATAATCGTACTGTAACATTGGACCATGTTGATTACGTTTACGTTCACTGGCTGATAATTGTTGGTCACATATTTCCATGGCTTGTAACAGCCGTTTCTGTAGAAAGACAAGTGCTTTTTAGTTGTGGAGTTTTGTAGTTTTTTTCACGTTTATTTACCTCATCTATGAATGGTATAAGTACCACTGCTTCCCATTCGTTTATTTTGCCATTGAGATCAGTTTTAAAGTCTTCGGGATAAAATTCGATTAGTTCACTGGAAGGATTGGTCATTAGATCTCTATATGCAGAGGGCAATAGTTGTTTGCTAGCTGCCGGTAAAACTGCCAATAACTAGTTTCAATTTTGAAAAATAAATAATATTTTATTAATAGTTTCGAGAGATACACAAAATGTAATGTGTATTGATATTCACCTGTTGAAATGGCAAAAAGGGTTTGCCCAAATCAAATTTAATCACATGATCCTTGAAATTTTTTAAATCACTTATAAATGGAGCATAATGATGGGGATAATACCATCCCCATGAGCGAACACCACGATAATAGTAGTCCAAGATCCATTGTAACGCTGTTATGTAGCATATCGCCTGCTCTTTTTTGTATTCGCTGAAAAGATAGCGATGCAGTAAATAATAGCCAAGGTAAAATAATAAAGGCATTATCTAAGTTAATCGTTTGCCGACCATATGATGTCCTACAACATAAACGCCGCATCCCAAAATAAGATCACACAAATGTGATCAAATAACAATATAATTCAGATTATATTTAAATTTAAGATTAGAAGCGTGTTTCTAGAAACAATTAGTTCCAGAACCTGCAAAAATCTTCTAGATATGAAACTTTTTTCGATAACATTAAGGAGAAATCGGATATCGTAGTACAGAGTTTTACATTCTTGCAGTTCTAGAACAGGCCAATAACGTCTCTGGTTTGGCAAAAACAAAATACTTGGGAGTACGGATAGACGGACTCAGAAAATGGTTGTAGAAGGTTTATAATAAAAAAGTTCATTATAATATAGTGTTGGTTATAAAAAACTGAACTTACCTATCAGAATTTTCTTGATTCAATTTATTCATGTAATAATTACGTTTATAATTTTCAAATTCTTCATTTATATGTTGACCATCTTCATCCGACAAATCTTCATCGTCATCCATGAACTATGATATAAATCAAATTAGGGGTATTAAATAAATATTCGTGATTAGACTTACTTGTTTGCTGCTTTCAATTAATGCTGCCAAATCGTCATCCACTTTCTCATTATTTATTTCACTAACATCGAAATCAAATGCTTCATCGATGCCATTCTAGAAATAGAAGGAAATTTGTTTCATTTCTTAGTTCCTCTAATATTTAAGGCTGTTGCTAATAAAATTACCTTTGATTGTTTCGCCTCAAAGTATTTTAAATCGGCATAATTCTCTTGGAAATTTTCAAATTCCACTTCGGCCAATACCTCAAAGTACTTCTCTAAACGTTCCAAATTTAGTTTGCCATTCTCATTGATGTTGCCTATGAAAGACGAATTGAAATGAAATTATTGATTTTAAAACAAATTCTCATTGAAATACTTACCACCCAGAGAGGGATAGACCTTTTTATAGGTATTATATAGCAAAGGTAATGCATTTGACGAAATATTTAGACATGGCAAATGTGGTATAAAATCATTGCCCACAAGAAATCCCATCAATACCCAATCATCAATTAATTTGGCTATATCAAAATCTGGATACTGTTTTAATTCATCAAATTCCAGTTCCAAATACTCTCTTAGAAGACCTAAGTGTAGTAGAAAGAAACGTGTCTCTTCCACAGAGGCTTTTTTATTCTTTTTGCCGAATTTTACTTCTTCGCGAAGCACAACAAAATGCAATTCATGGGTACACAAGCCCAATATAATTAAATCAGCATCAAGACCGTACAGGCAATGCCTTGTATTGGGATCGAAATCATTTTGTGATTTCAAATAACGTATATAATCCATGATTTTGTGTTCTCCTTCGCCGGGAGCCTAAAAATTGAGAAGAAGTATACAAATTGAGATATACAAAGCTAATAAAAATAATAAATTATTGCAACTTACATTGTGGCCACTCAAAATAACTCTGCATTTTTGCCACAGTGGATCAGCACTTATCTTACTCTTTATAAAATATCGCAGTGCCTCATGTAAACGATCCATGAATTCGGTGCCCGGTGTAATACAATTACTATCGAAACGTTCATGTTCTCGCACCTCACCGCGACTTAATGCTAATTTCTCCAATGTCTCAGCTTCCTTGGCTGAACGAAAGCGTCTGCTACGTTGTTGATTCATTTTTGCACGTGGTGCAACACCATCAATTGCCATAAAGAACAACTTTTGTGGCTTAATTAGAAAGAAGAGTTTGTCAATGTAATTGAAAATATCCTTGAACATTTCTTCTTCAGTGATATTGAAATGAATGTTCGTGTCATCCGGATGTGAGCAATTGTGTATGATTCCATTCATATCCAAATATAAATTGTCAAAATCTGGAACCTAAAACATTAAAACCGTAAAATGTTTTTTTTTTTCTTAGAAAATAAAAATATAACAAGTGGTTGCTTTTACTTACGCATTGTTCGCGGGCCAATTCACTAAGGCAAGGATACCTTTCACTAATGTAACGAAAGAATTTCGGGACACCCATGTTGTTGTTGTTGTTGCTGCTGCTATGCTGTGCAAATCAATCCTCTTGCAATGACTTTGATCCCCAAATATAATTAAGTTAATTATTCTAAAAGAAAAAAAAACAATGTTTGCTGCCAAATTAATACATATTTCTTATTTTTGTTGTAATAATTGAAGGCTTCCCCGTTCTTTGTCGCTTTTGCATTTTCTTTTTTTTTTTCTTGATCAATCAACAAATGTCTTTGTTGCAATCGAACTTTCACTTTTTCGAGGACTTTTTTATAATTATTACTTACCAAAGCAGGGGAAATTTTATTCTTTGTTGTATTATTTGTGTACTTTCATCAAAATCAACAGTATTTTCTTGATTAAAATGTATATTTACAGAGAAATGTTGAAATATTGCAAATGTTTGCAATGTTTTTTTTTTTTTTGGAATCGGTTACCTGATTACGCCGTCACGACGAGGTTGGTACGATACCCGTAGTATGCATGTACCCAAGGTAGATGTACTAGGTAATCGCATCAGCCCAGCTGACGGCACCATTAAATGTCAAAACAAATTGTTGTAATGAAGAATTCGCCCTAAATGAATGCAACAACAAGTTTCAAATTCGGTTGTTTTCAAAATGTTTATTTCAATGGTACAATGATATCAAGGTAGGGCTATGATACCATATGATTTCAATTTTTTTATTTTCTTGCTCAGAAAATATTCAAATTCGGGTGTTTTTAAAATGCTTATTGTCACTTATGCATCGACAAAGTCTACAGTTTTTGTAGCGAAATAATCCTTTAGAGATATATAGTACATGATTTTGAATAGAAGTGTTGACCTTTCATTCAGTTATCGCAGTTTTCAATTATTTATTCAAAATCAATGCAACAAGTTGTTTGATTTTTTATTTTTTTGATACTAATTCTGACATTACAAGCCAAACAGGTAGACCTCTATACTTGCAATTTTTTCAAAGTTGACCTACCTTCTCTTCATTGTACCTACCTTCTTGAAATAAACATTTTGAAAACATCCGAATTTGAATATTTTCTGCACAATTTTTTTTGTTATTGAAAAGAAAACCTAGCCCTACCTGTATATAATTGTACCCATGGTACAATGAAGAGAAGGTAGGTCATCTTTGAAAAAATTGCAAGTATAGAGGTCTACCTGTTTGGCTTGTAATGTCAGAATTAGTATCAAAACAATAAAAAATCAAACAACTTGTTGCATTTATTTTGAATAAATAATTGAAAACCGCGATAACTGAATGAAAGGTTAACACTTCTTTTCAAAATCATGTACTATATATCTCTAAAGGATTATTTCGCTACAAAAAGTCTAGATTTTGTCGATGCATACGTTGAAATAAACATTTTGAAAACATCCGAATTTGAATATTTTCTGAACAATTTTTTTGTTATTGAAAAGAAAACACATACATAAACATATAAAGATGACATATTAAGCCAAGAAAATAAAAAAATTAAAATCATATGGTATCATAGCCCTACCTTGATATCATTGTACCATGATTGTACCATGCATTCTTCTACCATGATATGTAGTGTCAAATTTTCCATATGTAGACGTTGCTCACATCGTGTGATACGTGGACGACATTTCACTTAGGAAATACATAATACATTCAGTTGTCGCGGTTTTCTTGATCTTTTTTGATTTTTTTATTATTTTGATACTAATTCAGACATTACAAGCCAAACAGGTAGACCTCTATACTTGCAATTTTTTCAAAGTTGACCTACCTTCTCTTCATTGTACCATGGGTAGACCCATCGACACAGCTGCTGGGACAATGAACTGTCAAACCAATTTTAGAATTGAAAAAGTTGAATGAAAAATTATTTAAATTTGTAAAAATTGTTGAAAAAGGCAATTATAATAACAACACCTGAGCACCACATTCTGAGGTCGTATAAGAAAACATATAAAAATCTACTTATATTTTAACCAAAAAAATTGAAAATTTTTGACATATCAATGTTCCCATGTGTTGCTGCATCTACAAATATTCTTCAGTCATGTCACCACCTCTATATATTCGTTTATGACACTATAAACTACTTATATTCCTGATATACCTACGATTCTTAGAAGACTACGTTTTGTCCATTTGTCTGCTGAAATAAACATAATAACCACAATATTTTATGAGGAAATCTGTGGCAATTGGGTATATAGATTCACAAGGCTGAATTGCAAGTTTTTACTTATTTTGGGAGTTTTCGTTTTATTGAATCTCCTAATTTTTACTATTTTGTGTGTATTTAATCTAAAGGCAATATTTTCAAAATTTTTGTATCGACGAAAAATTTTATTGACAGTTACTCTCCAACCGAATTTAAAAACAGAAAAAATATATGTTAAATGTCAACATTTATACAAAAAGTTCAAAACATGAATGAAAATTGTTAAATGAAAGATAAAATAAATCTTTGGAGGAAAAACAATAATTTCTTCTATTATTATTGCTAATTTCATGTACTTCTGTACAAATTCCTATAAAAATCAACAAACAAAAAGTTTGAAAAAAAGGAATTATGTTACTATGAATTAGGAATCGGGTTAATTTGTGTAACTAATTCTGAGAGCGAACAACAACATAGCATAATGTAACATAAGCTTTTCTGCACATCCTTTACCTATTTTCCTATGACGGGACATGAAATCAAGTGGATATTGTTTTTTGGAACCATATATCATATATTTATTAGCCATATATCTAAATCTTACATTTAAATAAAAAAATATTGAACGATTTTTTAATTTACTTCAGATAATTCACATAATCTTGCCAGCAGACTTGTTAGTTGCAACAACGAGTTCAAACCATCTACAACTTTCATGTGTGTTACACCAATTTCTCGAATAAAATTCAATTTCATGTGTTCATCGACATTCAATCGCTTGCACACACGAAATATATTACCAATTATATCTTCGGCTGCATAGCCGAAACGCCATAGTTTCGCCAATATCTTATAGGCCTTATGTATATCATTTTGAGCACAATGCTGTAGCATATCTTGTATAAGCATAGGATGTGGTTCATCGCAAACCTTGAACACGTTGGGTCCGGTGATTTTACCAAAACCCTGAGCGGTGGATTGTAGATTGTTCAAAGCTTGACGCATATCACCTTGGGCTGTAAATACAATGGCTTCCAAACCCTCCTCATCGTATTCTAAATTTTCACGTTGGCACACTTCTATTAACTTGGCCAAGATTTGGGCATCTGACAGCTTGGTGAAACGTAACATGGCACAACGTGATTGTATTGGCTCAATAATTTTCTCACTGGTATTACAGGCCAAAGCAAAACGTGTGGTATTACTGTATATTTCCATGGTGCGACGAAGAGCTTGTTGGGCACCCTCAGTCATACTATCCGCCTCGTCCAATATAATGATCTTATGGCGTCCCCGTGGCAATGTTACCTTCTGCTGGGCAAACATTTTGATTTTGTTACGAACGACATCAATACCACGTTCATTGGAAGCATTCAATTCCAGGACGGCCTCTTTGTAGCTCTCCCCCAATAGAATGCGAGCCAAGCATTGTATGGTAGTCGTTTTACCAACTCCAGGAGGACCCTAAAAAATGATTTGTGTTTTATAATTATTTTCATTGGAAGTGTCTATCTTACGGCAATAATAATATTTGGAGCATTTCCTTGGGTAGCAAATACCGAAAGTCTAGCCACAGTGTCTTCATTGCCCACAATCTCATCGAATTTCACAGGTCGATATTTTTCAATCCTTTGGAGAGATAAAAAATCTATGTAAAATACATTTTTAATTATTTTTCTTGTTACCCACCATGGTAAGTTGCGTTTTTTGATTTCCTCGGCAGTTAATTCAATGTTTTCCGGCATGTTTATTGATTTTTTTCTGTTGCAAATGCCGCTAATATGTTTTTGCTAGGGATAGATAAGTCGATTACCGATTAATCGAATACTTGTTTATAGCGCCAAAATTCGTGTTAGTGTTGCCACTGTGGAAAATTTTAAATGAGGCCACACATGACCATAACAGCTGATTGTAAACTGTATTATTTTGTGTTGCTATAATGAATTGATAAAGATTATATATTATTTGGAACATGTAAAAAGCAAAGGGTCAGTATATATATTTTTACCAAGTTTCTTTAACTGCACTTAGACATATAAGTTGTTACTATTTTTGATGTGGCATTACTAGAAAAAAATCAGAGTTACATTTTTTCCACTAACCATACTACACTTTTATGCAACCCTTGCCTTCTGTCAGTGTTCAATCGTGTGGCAACGGAGTCCGGACGTGTGTGCGGTTAAGTTTTTGTGTGTGAAAAAGAAAATTGCATAAACCCAAAATCAACAAAAAACCATGGCTGCAAGATTGATTCAAAAGATTGTAAGATTCTTAACAGAAAAAAATTGCCATTGCATGTTTTGTATTAAACAAAAACGTGTTACAAATCCAACATTATTGCCCCGTTAAAAGTTAACATTTTCTTCTGTCTCTGTGTGTTCTTGAACGTTTAATATCCCATCCAAATTTTTTACACTTCGATTTAATTTTTAGTTAAAAAGTATTGGAATTAATGTCTCCCGGGAAACAAATGCATTGCCCTCGAGTGGTATAAAGGTATTAAGACGAGGAGACATTGCGTCTCAATTCCAATTGGAACAACACACATTTTCCATGGCATAAGGCAAACGCAAGAAGTGTGTCTGTGCCAAAGAATACTTGCGAAAGACGACGACTTCTTGCGGTGGCTGTCAACATTTTTTTACATAACACTTTGATGGGGTGGAAAAAATTCAAATGTTTTTCTGTTTTCAACTCCATGTTGAGGTATTGGCTTTAACATTAGAGGAATATGAAACTATTTAATGTTGTTAATGGATGTTTTAGGAGTTTTTAATGTTATTTAAAAAAATTGGTAGCATTTCTGATTTCCTGAAAATTTCTTAACCTCAACTTTAGCAAATGAAAGGAAGGAAGTAGGTTTGGGTTCTTATGTCAACCGTATCAGGGGGCTTTTTAACAAATCGATTCTACTGGAATGCCTTGAAACCCATTTTGGAGGTAAAAAATATATTTGAATTCTTTGCGAGCTTTTATTATATCTTTTTAGATATGCTGTTTTATATCGTTCCTCTTATGTAATTTTCTTCTCACTTGGCATTTAATTGAAGCAATTGATGGATATTGTTTGTTCATATATCCACACAGTGTTTGTTTGCCTTTAATTTATGCATTTGAAAATGTGCTATCATTGTCAATTGTATGCACTATCATTAGCTCAATTAAGTAATAGTAAATTCGCTTCGGCTGAATGGAAAAGCCGGTATTGCAATGTTTAACCCTCAAGTGGCCAACACGCAATATATGGTTCGGAATTAAGTTCTATGGAAGAACAATAAATCGAACATAAGTTTTGTAAGAACTCTACAATTTTTTTTGAAATTGTTTTCCAGTGGTAGATATACTTATCCTTCCTTATTCCGGGAAACTATTTTTTTCTTGGGGACGGAGCCGAATTTTTGATACGAATGTCCGGCATCAAGAGACAAAGGTTGTAAACGCGGTTCAGGATTTATACTCAAAATATAAATTTTTTGTACCCGGATTTTTTATAAAACTCCTAAAAAGTCGAAAAAGGGTCCATTAAGGGGTATCAACAAAATTGATTTCAAATTATAGCTGACACCCTTACCTTTACAAAATACTACAATTCAAACGATATCTTTATGTCATATATGGGGTAAGTGAATACGGGTCTAGGCCGGGCCTTGATCCAGGGCTTTTGTGTCAAAAATTTGGGTCCCAGGTCCATCCCCAAGTAAAAATACCTACCTGTTAAAAATTTTTCGAAAAAAAAAAAATCGAAGAATTTTTACTAAACTATAGTTGTTGCTGATATTATTTAGAAAGATATATTTCCAAAATTTGAATTTATGTTTATCGCATTGTTTTTGTAAAACAATTTGGGTACTCCTTCGTAGGTAGGCACGAGTTATTCAACCTAGGTTTCTTAGGAACATAACGAAACAATTGCAGCACAACCTTTTAAAATCGTTGAAAATGGACTTGCAATAGAACATACGTACATTTATGGGTTTTAAACTAATAGCGTTTATTCGAATAGAGAAATTAAGTCCGTATATACAATTGAATGTTACTCTTTTCGTTTACATCTCCAAGATTTTCGGCCTGTTGTAATGTGGACTATTGTAATGTGGAAAGAAAGTGTCAGAAAATCTTTTACAATTCCTTATTTTAAATACTTTGTTCCGCAAAAATTCTCTTTCGACATTTTGAAAAAATTTCCATATTCTGTAAAAAACTCATTTAACTTAGCCTGGTATTTCTCTATTTCCCATTTGTTATTTTTCCTAATATCAACCTTCCCACAAATAACAGATCAAACGATAAATCGCTTCTCCTCCTTCTCTATCTCTGCTAGCACATAATTTCATCCATTCCAATTTCTTATTGTTGTTATATTTAGTTCAAAAATTTACTAATTTTCTCTACTCCTCATTGTGTTTTTTTTAGGTTAGCACAACCCCAGCCTGTGGTCGCTCCTATTCCTCGGGTGTACGCAAGGTCACTTTAATTCCCGGTGATGGTATTGGACCTGAAATTTCTGCTGCCGTGCAAAAAATTTTCACTGCTGCCAATGTGCCCATTGAATGGGAAGCCGTTGATGTGACTCCCGTCCGGGTATGTTGTTTACCGAGCAACTCCTTAAATATAATTTAACATAATTTAACATTCCAATTACTTTCTTCGATTGCAGGGTCCTGATGGCATGTTCGGTATTCCACAAGCTGCCATCGATTCAGTAAACACAAACAAAATCGGTTTGAAGGGTCCCTTGATGACACCCGTTGGCAAAGGTCATCGCTCCTTGAATTTGGCCTTGCGCAAAGAATTCAACTTGTACGCCAACGTCAGACCATGCAGAAGTTTGGAAGGTTACAAGACCTTGTACGATAATGTTGATGTTGTGACCATTCGTGAAAACACTGAAGGTGAATACTCCGGTATTGAACATGAAATCGTTGATGGTGTTGTACAGAGTATTAAATTGATTACTGAGGAAGCCTCGAAACGTGTGGCCGAATATGCTTTCCAATATGCCAAGAACAATAACAGGAAGAAGGTTACTGTTGTCCATAAGGCCAATATTATGTAAGTTATATAGTTTCCATGTATTAGTTGCCTCCTTATATGTTTTTGTTATCCTCAAAACAGGCGTATGTCCGACGGTTTGTTCTTGCGCTGTGTCCGCGACATGGCCAACAACTATCCCGAAATTAAATTTGAGGAAAAGTATTTGGATACCGTTTGCTTGAACATGGTACAAGATCCCAACAAATACGATGTTTTGGTAAGTGGTGTTTTGTTTTATTTTAATTACAAAAAAAAAAGTAAAAAAAAATTGGTTACTTCTAGGTCATGCCTAACTTGTATGGTGACATTTTGTCTGATATGTGCGCCGGTTTGGTTGGTGGTCTGGGTTTGACTCCCTCTGGCAACATGGGTCTTAACGGTGCCCTCTTCGAATCTGTAAGTTCTATAAAAATCTGTTGTACATTAGCAGTTTTTATTATACTACCTATTTTCTTTTGCACAGGTTCACGGTACTGCCCCCGATATTGCTGGCAAAGATTTGGCCAACCCCACTGCCTTGTTGTTGTCTGCTGTCATGATGTTGAGACACATGGAACTTAACTCCCATGCCGATAAAATTGAACAAGCTTGCTTTGCTGTCATTAAGGAAGGCAAATACTTGACTGGCGATTTGGGCGGCAAAGCCAAGTGCTCCGAATTCACAAATGAAATTTGCTCCAAACTGTAAATAGTTTCCTCGGCAGCAAAAAACCAACAACATCGCCACAAACTCATATTTGTTTTAAGCCAAATAATAAAGAATTGCATCGTTCAAAACAACAACAACAATAACAACTATATTCTCAAAATACATAAGAAGCTCTTAAAACATCAAGTAACAACGGATAGTATTGTATGTTCGAATACCTACTTAATGCAATTAAATGCAAAATTTTATTATAATTATTATTTTTTTTTCGATTAGTTAGAGAAAAGGAAAACAAAAATTTTTGCCCTCCTTACTTTGCCGTATTATTTTTTAATTTGTAATTTATTATGTTTAATTAGTTTTTTTTTTTGTTTTTGTCCAAAAAAAGAAGTCATTATATTGTTATTTAAATATTTAAAACTAATCAGCAGCCCAATTTACTTTTCATTTGTAATTATATTTCTGCTCCCACCACCATTAAAGTCAAAGAAAAAAACCAACAACAACATCTGCATTACCAAACTACAAATGCAAATGCAAAGAACGGGAAACCCCTTATGAAAATTGTCATCAAAATAAACACAAAACAATTGTTGAGATAAATATATAAATAAAAAGAAATGATATTTAAAAGAAAATATGATACAGTTGTTTTTACATTGGGTAAACGCGGGACAAGGGGGGTGAGATGTAGGTAAAGGGAATTATTTTAAAACACAACAAAAAGATTGGAAAATCTGGCCAAAACCATCTTGAGAACTAAAACCTGGGGTAATCTACAGGATGATATGAAAAAACTGCAACCAACTTCAGCTTGCAGTCATTTCCAAACCACTCGTCCGACAGCTGTTAACATTATTCCAGTGACAGCTCATTATATTGTTTACAAGCGTACAAAAGCATTTTGGCGAGAATTTTGCAGAAAAAAGTTATTCGTGATGGAATTCAAGCGTGATAGCGTCATTTCTTTATATTTGGCTGGAAAACCAAAAGTGGCTATCGTTAGAGCACTCCAGCATTTAAATGTGAATAAATCTTTTGTGTCTCGTACCATCGCTCATTACCGTGACCCGCAGACCTTGGACATTCCAACCGGACTCACCCACCATCGCACTCAATACGCGCCACCCAAGAATGGTTACAAAGTTAGGTTCCTCGCTTCATTTCTAGCGCACAATGGCCATCAAAATCTCCGGATACCAATCCGTTGGACTATTGTGTCTGGAGTATTTTGGAAAGCACGGTTGGCACTAAAAAATACCAACGTGTCGATCACCTCAAGCAAGCTCTTCGCCGGGAATGGGCCAGAATACCGTAGAGCAACATTCATTGGCCGTTTGAAGGCTTTAATTCGTGCCAAAGGTGACCAATTCGATTTCAACTTATTCTAAAATTTGATGCTATTTCGGACATTTTTTGCTTTCATTCAATATAATTAAAAAAATGTATGGAAAAATTTATCTCCATAATAGAAGTAGTGACCCTTTGTATGTGAGGTACCAGAAGGGGTTCGCAGATATATATCATCTTCACAATAGACCTTGTATTACCAAAAAAAAATGTGTGTGTGAAATTTGAAAAGAGTTAGATGCTTATTTCGCTTTCTTTTAGCGTTTTGTTTTTCCAAATCTTCAACTCTATGTGGGGGAGGTACCAGAAGAAATGGTCCAATCTATACCATCGTTATAACAGACCTTCTGTTGCTGAAAATATTGCGATGTGCCAAGTCTGAACTGAATCGTATTTTAATTTCGTGTGTTATTAGCTTCATGAATATTCAGAATTTCGATCCTTTGTGGGGGAGGTACCAGAAGGAGTGGACCGATATATTCCATCTTCACACCAGACCATGGGTTATTGAAAATATTGTGATGTGTGTAATTTGATGAGAACTGGATGCTTATTTCGTATTTTATGATCGTTTTGGTTATTCAAAACTTTGACCGTTTGTGGGGGAGGTACTAGAAGGAATGGTCCGATCTCTAATATATTTATAACAGATTTTGTGTTTATGGAAATATTAAGATGTGCCAAGTCTGAATTGGATGTTAATTTCGCGTTTTATTAGCTTCATAAATATTCAGAATTTTGATCCTTTGTGGGGGGATGTACCAGGAGGAGAGGACCGATATATTCCATTTTCACACCAGACCATGGGTTAATAAAAATATTGTGAAGTGTGCAATTTAAAGACAATTTGACACTTACATCACATTTTATAAGAGTTGTAATTATTTAAAATCTTGTCCCTTTGCGGGGGAGGTACTTGATGGAGTGGACCGATATTGTCCATTTTCGCACCTGACCTAGCATTGATGCAAATATTAGGATTTCCAAATTAGAATTTCCAGAATATCCTTTCTCTTTCTGTGCAGTAAATTTTTTTTTTTTGAAAATTTTGATATTTTTTATGGGAGGTACCAGAAGAAGTGGACTGGTAGTGCCCATCTCCGAACTCGATCTAAGTTTGATAAAAATATTACGATGTACCAAGTTTGGATCAAATCGGATACTCGGATAAAAATTATTTGATACTTAATACTTCAGCACTGAGTTGCATATTTCTAGTTTCTTTGAAGTTGAGCAAACTTTCTAATTGAGCCATGCATCCGAGCATTTTTTTGCCTGAAAATATTCAGGCAAAATCCTGTTATTATTGTGGCACAGTGGAGAAAATGTTTACTTCCAATAAATGTAAATAAAAAACAAACTCAGTTTTAAATTCTTTTCTTTATTTTCTTTATATGTATATATATATAGACTTACATGTTTATACATACAACATTTATATTTATATATATTTGTATGTTTGTTATTTATAGCGTTTACTCAATTAAACATAATGTATCAAAGTTGTAAATTAATATAATTATAGTTAGAGAGAAAAACAATGCACAAGAGATTGAGGGAGGACAAGATGGAGAATGAAAGCAAGTAAGGAAAGAATTTAATATCGATTTTAAAATATTTTTTTCTGTCTGTGTGGTACAATATTGATATATAAATATTAATATTTGGGCCATATTGTTGTGGTGTGGGGAATCTCTCATCTCTGTTTTATCCTCTCACTCCGTGCGTTTGAGTTCCTTTTTTGTTTTTTTTTTTTAAATAAATTTCTATTAAGGCTTCGAAATATTTCTTTTATCGTACTATACAATAATTATTAAAATATATACTTTTATGCATAGTATTGAGTTTTTGTCTAGACTTTTAGGTTAAGTTTGTTTTTGCTTGTATTTTTTTTGTGTTTTTTTTAATTTTGAATTACAGCAAAAAATCCATATTTAAAATTGAAATTGTAATACATTTTAAATGTAAAGCATTTACTTTTCATCGTAATAACCTATTTAACTAAACCAAAAATCAAATTCTACACAATTAAATTAAGAATTATTTTTTAGGTTAGTTTTTTTCCACTTTTTCGTTTTAATTATATATGTATATTTGTTTTAAACTATACTAAATAAAAACCTAAATATTACTACTGCTTTATGAATCGAATAGTTTTTTAATATTACATTGAAAATTTACAGCTAATTTTAGTGGTGATTTTATTGTTTCTCGTTTATGTTTAAAAAATAAAATGTATATTTTTCAAATAGTTATGATTTTTTTTTTAGAAATTGTATATTAAAGCAAAAAATGTCGTAAATATTACGATTAAGGTAATTTTCTATGGTTAAAAAATCATATAACAATAAAATCATTTTCAATTTTTCAAGATTTTTTTTAAGGAGAAGAAACTTTATGTGGTTTGTTATTTATTAAACATCACTGTGCGAACTCTAAATACCCAAACCTCTTATGTTGGTCATGTGTTACATATCGTATACACAATTACTTTGGTGATTCACAACACCTTGTTTGGAATTTTACTGTAATTTTGTAGTAGTATTTGAGTAATTTCATTGTAGAAAAAAAAACAGGTAGTCGCATCGACACAGCTGCTGGGACAATGAATTTTCAAACCAATTTTGGAAATGAAAATTTTTAATGAAAATATATTGAAATTTATAAAAATTGATACCCGATTTTTGCTAAAATACCAACAAATTGCCAAAAATCAATCCTTGTTTATTCTAAAGGACTTTTTCCCGGATTCGGAGTATATTTGGTATATCATAATTTCGGCATTCATGTCCTTTGATACACCTAACGTTTTTTTTTGATTCACAAATTACCCTTTGAATCACGATAACATTTTTATAAAGGACACCTTTCCCGTTTAGAGAAGAAACCTTTTGATAAAAGGGAAATTTATACCCTTTTTTTTGGTGAAATTCTAACGTATTACCCAAGATCAATATTTTATTATTATTCTGAAAGAATTTTTCCTGGATTCGGAGTAGATTTGGTCCTGTATTTTCATTGACAATTTTAGAGAGCAAAACTTTTAATAGAAGGGAAATTTATACCAGATTTTTACTAAATTACCACGAAATTACCCAAAATCAATCCTTTTTATTCTGAAAGACTTTTCTCCCAATTCGGAGTAATAATTTCGCGTATCTATGTCCATGGAATGGATGGAAAAAAGTTACTCTACATATATTTGGTCCTAGTCGGCTGCATCTATTTCAAGAAGAAGAAGAACATCTCACCATTTCTTTGATACCATAGAATATATAGTGAAGTTAAAGTTTGCTCACCATTTTTTTGAAACACGATAACACTTTTATAAAGGAGACCTCTGCTCTTTAGAGAAGAGAACTTTTCATAAAAGGGAAATTTATACCCGGTTTTTGCTAGTATACCATCAAGTTACCCATAATCAATTTTTTATTATTCTGAAAGACTTTTTCCCGAATTCGGAGTACTTTCATTGGTAATATCGGTATCCATGTCCATGGAATGGATGGAAAAAAGTTACTCTATGGGCCATATATTTGATCCGGGTCGGGTGCATTTATTCCAAGAAGAAGAGCATCTCACCATTTTATTAATAGCAATACGTAAGTTAAAGTTTGCTCACCATTTTTTGATACCCAAATTTACCTTTGAAAAACACTTTTATAAAGGAGACTTTTCGCTTTTAGAGAAGATACCTTTTGATAAAAAGGACATTTATACCCGGTTTTTGCTAAAATACCAACAAATTATTTTTATTTTTTTATTTTTTATTATTCTGAAAGACTTTTCCCCGAATTCGGAGTACTGATAATATCGGTATCCATGTCCATGGAATGGATGAAAAAAAATTACTCTATTGGCCACATTTTTGATGCTGGTCGGGTGTATCTATTTTAATAAGAAGAAGAGAGGATATAAAGGAAGGAATCTTGAGGATATAGCATACCGAAGTCAAAGTTTGCCAAAAATGTGAACAAATCTGACAATATTTTTTTATTTACTAAATTACGGAAGTGTATCCAGTGATTAAAATTCATTTCAAGGAATCCGTTTAAGGGTTTGTATTAAAGAAAGTCCGATTTTTCAACTTTGGGAAGCAAAACTGGTTATGATCTAAGGAGACAATTGCTGTGTCCCAATTCCGTTCTGCATCGAAAGTCATTTTTTAATGAATAGTCATTAAAAATGGAATCGAGTAAGTGAAAGTAAAAGAGAATTTTTTTTTTTGGATCTTGAAAATAAACCCTACCGAAGTCAAAGTTTGCCAAAAATGTGTTCAAATTCGAGAATATTTGTCCTTTTCAATTTTTTTTTTTCAATTAAAATGAATTTCAAGGAATCAGCAGTTTTCACGGTTTGTATTAAATAAAGTCCGAATTTCCGACATTGGGGAGCAAAACTGACTAAGATCTGATTATGATCTTAGGAGACGATTGCTGTGTTCCAATTCCGTTTTGTATTGAAAGTCATTTTTGAATAAAAAGTCATTCAAAATAGAATCGAGTAAGTGAAAGTGTATTCTCATCCATTTTAGAGAATATATTTAATTTTTTGGACTTTTCTGTGAACTAGCCACGAATTGAAAAAATGAGTTGATATGTGAATTAAAGGCGAAATATGTTACCAAATTAAGGAAAAAAAGAGAAAAACCTTTAAATGGAACTAACTTCAGTGGTGATATTTTTTTCGCTACCCTTGCCATTTGCTTTTCCATTTAGAAAAAATCATAAAAATCTCTACATCTAACATAAACCACAAAACGAATTCGAATTCTGCATAGGTAAATAGTTATATCATAGATCTCTCCTCATTTCACAATTACATATACTATGTACATTGAAATTAGAAAAAAAGTATATATATGTATATGTCTGTGTATTGTATTAATTCAAATTCATTTAAACTGTGCGAAATTTTTTATAACAAAATTATTCTTAGGATCTCCATTCTATATACATTTCTGCTTAGGCCTGATTTTAGTCATTGAAAATACGTGATTCACCTGCTAGAGCCGCCGTAGCCAAGGCAGCTGCTGTTGCCTGGCTGGTGGCCGGTCGATGCGATACAAATTGCAATATCTCATTAAGTGGCCCAGCCGATGTTACCTTTGAGGCAATATTTGGATCTGTCACGGTTATGGGTAGGCCCAACGAAGACGATATGGACGATGATTGGGCCGTTACACCAATAGCAGCTAGACTATCATCCAAGTTGGTCGGTGTACCACCAACTTCACCCATTACCACATTTGAGGGTGCCACCATGGCCATGGTAGAGGGTACACTTATACAATGTGTTCGACTGTTCGTTGGTACTTCCAGTGTTGACATAATTGGCGATTGATCCAATACCGCATTGGTGACAACAGCAGGTGGGGTTAGATGTGGTGGTGGTACTAGTGGCGCCGCTGCGGTGGGTGTAGCCTGTTGAAATATCACACCATCCACAGGACTATCAACAACACCGCCGCCATCCTCAATTAGCTGTAATGCCTGGGTTGTATCAATTGTTAAGACGCCATTGTCATATAAATCGGAACCAGCCATGGCAACGGCAATAATATCATTGTTGACACCAGCGCCAGCAGCCGCATTTGCAATTTCCAGCACTTGTTGTTCGTGGTTGTGTTGTTGCTGTTGTTGTTGCTGCTGCATATAAAGTGCCTGTAATACTTCATGGGTTAGAACATATTCTGTACCATCTTCGGATATAAGTTGAGTATTTGTATCTGGATTGGCTAAAAGATGGGCAAATGTTGCTGCATCCAATAGCACTTGTTGTCCCTCAATATTTAGGAGGATACCATTGTTGGCTGTGTCCTCTGTACACTCCATGGTTGCATTTGTATTAGCCTCGGTAATATCATCCATGAAATCTTGCTGAATTCCAGTACCACCAACATCACTTCCCTCTACGCCGCCATCTTCTTCGTCTCCATCCTCCTCGTCCGCAGTAACATTCGCAATATGTATTCCCGGAGAATTGTCATTTTTATGGCCGCCCCGATGAAGAACATTATGATGCGATTTATTTTGTTCCATTATTGCTTCTTGAGTATTACCATCTTCTTCTTCTTCTTCTTTGGAATCGTTTAGACTCGTATCGGCCACAATAAGTTTGGGCCCCGCTTCTAATACTTCAGCTGGTATGGGAACCAATTCGTTCAGTTGATGATTCAAATACAAGGGTACATTGTCGACAGGTTTACAGGTATTGCCATTAACTTTGCAGAGTAAAAATGTTTCCGTATAACCGGGATACGGTTGTGTTGGTAAAGCTATTAATTGGGTATTCGAATCGATGACGTTTTCCTATAAAAAAAAACGGAAAGAGGTAGAAAAAATAGCGTGAGTGTGCTAAAAATGGAGGTTATGAAAAATAATAGAATACATATTTTTTATAAATGTTTAAGTGTTTATTTATAAGTTATTAAAAAAAGTAATGACTAGTGACTGATTCATTAACCGCATCGAATGACTGGTGTGGGAATCTTAAGATTTTGCCTGATGTCCACGATTCTGTTTGGTTAGTCAAAACTTTCAGTGGAAATGCGGCGACACAAATGTAAGAGGTAAGTAAGGATTGAATTTTATTCATAATAAGAATCTTCGAATATACAACAAGGATAACACTCCAACTTTTCAAAATTGTGTAATGGGGGGTTTGAGTCATTACATAACCCCCAATATGGAAGATTCTGATGTAAAAAACTGAAAGGTATCTATCAAGTGGCTACTTGTAGATTTAAACAGGAATCTTATGGGAATCCACGATGTTCGGATTGGGATAAATTCAAATCTTCCGCGTTGGAGTTCAAACATGACCCTCGACGTTTGCAATCATCCAATGACAGTGTGTTCTTCGTTTAAGCTATGAGAAATCTTTACCAATCCACCACAAGAGGACATTCCAGCTGGTATGATGGACAAAATACTGTGTCATTTTGCGAAAAACAACAAGAAGGTAATAAAACAATGCCAGTAGAACTAAACTTAGTACTGATTGGAGGGCAGGCTTTAATAAGCGTAAGAGTGAATTAAAGAAGACTAAACATTCACATTTATCTCCCTCTTCACACTATCCTCTATCTATAAACCATGGAACTCCAAAAGTATCCATGGCTGCCGTTCCTAATGCTTACATAGTATCCTTGAATCAAACACCAAGTTGCGTCTACTTTTGGGAATATTTTTATGATTCATACTTACATCTTCTCGTGAGCCAGCCGTTGTTATGATGAAACCTTCGTTGGCTTGTTGGGGTAGTACAGGTTGTAGTACAATATTTTGTGGACTTGCTAATTGAGTGATCACTTGTTGTTGCTGCTGCTGCATTTGTTGTTGTTGCACCACTAATTGATTTCCATTTTGTGGCGGCGGCTGTTGGTTATGACCCGTCGTCGTTGCAGCTGCTGTTGTTTTATGGGGTTTTCGCGTTCGACTCGTTTGGGTATTTAGAATAATTGACGATGATTGATTTTGTGGCTGTTGTTGTTGTAATTGCATTAGCTGTTGTTGCGCTGTTGTTATTTGATTGTCAGAGATTTTCAAGTGATCTGATTGTGTCGCTGTAACATCTCGAGCCATTTTATTTTGTGGTGGGTGATTATCGGCAACTGATCTTTGGCTAATTGTTTTGTTCTGAGACGCTTTCCTTTTCATGTTACGGCCATTGGGTGTTTTTGTTGGGGCATTGGAATCTGCCGTCGTTGAATTTCTGTTGTGTTGTTTTGCTTCGTGAAGGGTGGAAAGTTTACGAGGCTGAATTTCCGCTGTGTTTACGTTTGCTGCATCCATTGATAATCGTGACGAAGTCTGCAAAGGGGAAATTAGAATAAAGTGGGTGATTATTTGGGTTTAAAAGCTTAAAAGTATGCTACTACTCACATCGTCGGAAAACAAGTCCTGAACCAGATCGTCTTCGTCGTGCGTTCCGCTCGAAGGACGATGTAGTAGAAATGATGTTATGTTATCTTCAAGGGACGATCCACGCCTGGATTTACATGTCGTTTTCAATTCCCTGGCAAATTCACAGCGTCTTGTTGTCCTATCAATGTCCGGCATTGTCATTTTACGTTCCGCGGTACGTTTAAGTGGTTTCATTTTCAGCGCTCTGCTTGTCGTCGTGGTGGTGGCTGTGGCAAAGGTGGTAGTTGTTGGCGGGCATTCTTCAAAATCATAAACCGGGCCCTTACGAGAACTTGGCCTGACCGATGTATCGAAACATATTGTTTTTCGTCGTTTGATTGTTTTGCTAACTGTGGGCTTTTGACTAGTTGCGGATTTTGATTCATTGTCCCCAATTGTTTCTGTGAATCCCAATGTATCGATCCTCCTGCATACATTGTTGTCCATTTGAACTTCAATGATGATATTTTTCATTATTTCCTCATTTTCGTTGTCAACGTTTTGTTCTTGGTTTTGATTCATTAGTTTATCGAATTCCTTGAGATAGTCTGTTGTTGTTTTTTCCATTAAGGATTCCATGGATAGGTCTTCGGTGGTGGAGGGGTTTGGTTTTGTGGTGGCTTCACTTTCGTCGTTTTTCTTTTCGTTTACGGTTTGTGAATTGTGGTCGTACTTCGGGTCACTCCTTTCTTCCCTGCTTGCCTCTGCATCCTTGCCATCGATTGTAGCTTTATGACTTTCAGATGATAAGGCCTTCTCAATAATTGCTGATATCTCTGTTTCTTCAATAGGCCATGACGTTTCTTCCTCTTTGTTTTCTTTAATGTCCGAGTCAGTGGCATCCTCCAATGTAGGAAGATTTTCATTTGTCGTTGTAATCGATTCCATGTTTTGGTCCTCGACCATTTTTTTGGACTCTGGCGGCTCCTCAGTTTCTTTAAGACTGTCCTTCTCACACTCAGTGAAAATCTCTTCTTTATTTAAATCATTTGTCAATGTTTCTACCTCAAGTGCAACTTCCTCCTCCTCCTCCTCCTGTTTTCTTTGTTTGGATTTTATTGGCATTATTATATCTCCTCCTCGTTTCTTTGGTGTTTTTGTATGACTCTTTTCATCTGTTGGGGTTTCCATAATATCCTCATTTTCTGCCAAATTTGTAACAATTTCCGATTTCTTTTGCATATTGGCTTCGAGGGCATCAATTGCCTCAACAATTCTCTGGCTTTCCAAAAGAACATCGGCCAATTTAGATTCGTCTGCTTTCATATCATTTCCTTTTTCCTCCTCCTTGTCTTCAGCGTTTTTAGTAATATCTTCTACTTGAATTGCTTCAGCTTCAGTTCCTAAAACTTTCTTACTTTCCAATGATGTTACGGCGGCGGAATCATTGAGAATTGCTGTGTCTATTTCTTTGCCATATTCCATGGAACTTTCACTATTCTCTTTCTTAGATAATATATCATCCAATTGCATATCATCATTCCTTAGTTCATTTGCTTCATTGTCTAATTGGTTTTCATCCTCCTTAGATTTTTGAGCTCCAAGTTCTTTTGTTACAATCTCCTCCTCATCATCATTAGTTTCCTTCAAGTCTTTGATACATTTTGACATCTCCATAGGAATTTGTAGATTATCTTCGTCTACTTTTTCAAGTGCCGCATTATTTATATCTGCTTTGTTAAGAACATTGTCATTAGTCTCAGAATCCTCAATTTTATCATTTATATGCATTGTTTCAGATTCTGTTTCATTGGAATCATTTGAAGTTTGATTTCCAGGCTTTTTATTAGGAACGTCTTGATCTAAGAATTCTTGAAGCATTATGGGACTTTCTCTTTCATCAGATACTTTAGCACTCTTTTCAAATGTCTCAATAGATGCCTCTTTTGTATTTTCAATGGTGTCACAAATTTCCACTCCCTTTTCCACGGCATCCGTGGAAGCATCTTTAGCACAGCTAATGCTCTCACCAATACAGTCTTCAGATACTTCTTCGTTTACTTTTTCACTTGAATTTACCTCTAGCGAAGGGTTTACTTCTTCTTCTTCTTCGTCCTTGCTCTTCTCGGTATCTTCTTGACTAGTTGTTTCACAATAATTTGTTTCTTCCTTAGCTTCTTCATCTTCTTCTTGTTGTCGTTGTGGCTTGTCTTGTATGGAATTTGTATCTGCACTTAGCACTTCTTGGCTATCCACAAAATCTTTAGCCACTTCCTCCTGATGCGAATTTTTCAAACGTTCGGCCGATTTTTTCAATAAATCTTTACGTTTGGAGGAATTCGCTTTACAGCCACGGAGACGTCTCCGCCTATTTTTTGTGGTTAAAACATTTTCTTTGGTCTCTGAGCAGTCATTTGCTTTAGATTCTATAATTTCCGCTTCCTTTACTTCCGATTGTTGCTTCTTGGCATCATCATCATTTGATTCACTCTCTGCCAAAGCGATTTCATTGCCTTCCATTGGCTGGGGTGTTTCATTGCGACTAAAGGGATAAGCTGGTAAACGTTCCTCACTTAACATTGATGCAGGCGAACCGAATTCAGCACCGGTATCCGAGGCACACAATGAACTATTTTCATCGAGCGGTGATGTGTTTACAGCCTGCCGCTGCTGGGGCAAATCTTCTGTTAACAACTGGTCCACATCTGATGTGAAATGTTCTTTTTTCTCCGCCATGGTGATACCAGGGGTTTCAGCGGCATTCTCAGTAGTTATTTCACTCTCTTCTGTTGTCACCGGAATTTCAGTGATTTGGGTATCCAAATGTTCTTCAATTGCTTCATCGTGCTCTTCCTCGTTCTCATTGACAACGGTGTCCAAAATAGTTTGTTTCAAATCAACCTCTTGAACTTTATCTATTGGTTTGTCAGCGACGAGAGCTTCTTCCTCGATTTGAGTTTCTTTTAGAACTTCATCCTCGATTACAGGGGCCCCTTGAGCTCTCTCATGCTCTACCTCTATTTCTTGATTGGTAACGGGAGTATTATCTGAAATCTGATTTTCACAAACTTCATCTTCATCTTCATCTCCACCTTTTGGACTCCTCTCTTCAGTTTCCTGAGCAGTAGTAATCTTTTGAGCCGTTTCTTCAGCATTGACTTTTTCTTGTTTAATAATAGCAACGATATCATCTTCAAGACAAATTAATGAATTGTTGCGGGTCTTATTACCAGGATTTAGGTGCGTCTTTTCCACATCCATTTCCTCCGAATTAAAGTCATCAGTTTCGTTTTCCTCTATCCATGCCAACTTCGTCAAAGTTTGTATGGTGGCAGCCTCTATAAGATTTTCCGGAGTTGTTTCATTGTTGGCTTCTCCTACCATACTTTCACATGGTTTGCTATTCTTGCCATTGTGCTGCTGCCCATAACCTTTGTCTTGTTCTGAAGATATCCTGGTTGATTTATCTTCCACTAGTGGCTTTTTAGGTGTAATATCTTCCATTATTGCTGCTGCTACTGTACTACTATTGTCTTTGGTTAAGCTCTCATCTGTGGATAGGGAATTCGTCCGGGATTCAGTGCTGGATTTACTTTCCACAACCCTTGAACGATTGCGAGATTTAAATATGCGTTTACTACGTTCTTTTATTGGCAAATCTTTGACAGCTATGCCCTCTTCGAAGCTAGCTTTTCGACTTATTATTAAGTCTGCAGCAGCTGGAGGTTGGGTTTGTTCCAGCAACGATTCTATTTCGGCGGCTAAATCTTGATCTTGTTTGGCTCTTTCTTCGTGTTGTTGTTGTTGTTGTTTGTCATGGGAGGAATCCATGTTGTTATCGCCACCATCCTTAGTTGTTATGGGCTGAAGGGATTTTTCGTTGCAAAGATATTTCTTTTTGAAATGAGCCACAGATGTGTTGACGACATTTGTGGCAGCATCTATGTCCTCATCCTCGTCATCGTCTTGAAAATCAAAACATGATAGAACAGAGGTGGTCAGGGATTTATCATTTGGTTCATGATTTTCCAAATCGCTGTGTCGAGATGTGACAACATTTTGTGGCGAGTGTTTATCTTGGTTTGTTGGTTTACATTTATCCATACCCTCCTGCAAGGCTGCTTCCTTCTCATCTCCATCATCATCATCGTTTATGGTAATAATGGCTTCTGTTTCACCTTCTGGTTGTTCCTGTTCGACAATTTCTACCACTTCCGCCGTGGAAGAAGAATTCGAACTATCCGCCAAATTAATTTCACTCGAGCTTGCCACAGGCTCTATAACGGACAAATCATTATTAAAGTCATCGAGAATAACATTTCGACGATCTTTCTTAGGTATGTTACGTATGCGGCTGGTATTTTGAGTTTTACCCCTCATGTCGGGAGTTGATGTTGTTGCTGTAGCCACAGTTGAATCTGTGGCGCATTTTGTATCTTTCTTTGTTGATTTTTCTCTTTTATCATCACCGATTTCAAGATCTGGTGTTTCGTCTTCATCACTCCAATCGGCCAATAACATATTTCGTATTTCTTCGGCATTTCCTTTGGTGGCGGTGGCTGATGTTTTATCCGATGTTGCGGCATCAGCAATGATATCTGCTGCTAGTGGTATTTCTTGTTCCAAAACCACGGCATTTTCTATTGCATCCTGTAAGTGAAGACTGGCAAAATCCCTTTTTTTGGGAATCTTCTTAATAGGTTTTGTTTGTTCAAGGAAATCGGCTGGTTTTATGGTGGTTTTCGAACCATTTAGAACATTGTGGGTAACTATTGTTGCTGGAGTATTTGCCGCGACTACAGCAGGAGGTGGCGTTTTACTTGCACTTGTTCGAGTATGGCGCCTCGAGCGTCTTGCCAGAGTTCCATCGATTGATGAAACATCCAATTCACTTGAAGATGTATCTGAGATCAAGATAGTTGTTGTTGTTGTTGCTGCTGATCTCAAAGCTGGCAATACTTTTGTTGAATCGAAAGACTCATTAACCACCTTGTCGTTGTTGCTTTTGACTCTAGGAGCAGCAGCTACAACAGGAAGAGTAGTTTTCAATGTTTTACTCGCAGCAGTCATTTTGATACTTGTACTAGAAGTTGCAGTTGTTGTTGTTGTGGAAAGTAGGGAAGGTTTCAGTACACTGATCTTATTAGCTTTGGTATTTGTATCAATTATATTAGTTTTATTTTGATGTGGACTTGCCATGGTTCCACCAATACCACCACTATTTCTGTTACTGTGACTTTTACGATGCAATATCATAACATTTTGCCGGACACTGGTAAAGCCACATAGATTACAACGATAATTGTTGTTGTTGTTATTTGCATTGTTGTTACCGACATTAAAACGATTCGAAATTGAGTCTCCAGTTGATATGTTTTTGGCATTATTATTCGATGACGATGATGAAAAGGAGGAGGAGTTGGACAATAATGACGGCGATGGCAAACCCATCTTGGGTTTATTTGGTGTTATATTCATGATTTTGGTTATCGATTCCTGGAAAAATATAAATAAATAATTCTTATTAAAATAAAATTGAAATTCCATGTGCCAAATTACGGATTAAAGGGTCCAAAAGAACTTCAGGCTTAAGTATTTTTTAAATTTGCTGAGATTGTTTTTTGGCTTTGAGTTATAGATATTCGCAAGGACCTTTTTATTTGCAATTTTCCCCAATTTCAGAAAATTTGAAAAATACCTAACTCCGAATTTCATTTTTGCCTATGAGTTCTATATATTCGGAAAGTAGTCCCTGAGTCTTATCATTTGGAATTCGATCTTTAAATTAGGATTTAAGTTTTCCCAACTTCCATGGTAGAAGAATATAGGTAGTCGCATCCCAGCAGCTGTGGGACAATGAACTGTCAAACCAATTTTGGAATTGAAATTGTTTAATGGAACATTATTCAAATTTGTACAAATTGTTTAAAAATGCATATCATAACAACCTTCGATTGGCATCGTATAGGATAATATATAGAGATTTACTTATTTTTGAAGAAACATTTAAAACATGTTGACATATCAATGTTCCTTAGCGTTGATGTATTTGCCTTTATTCTCCTGCATTTATTGATCGTTTTTAACATTATTTTCTCCTTTTTGTGATACGTTTATAATTGTAAAAGGCTTTAAATTTCCCTTCAAATCGCTTTCTCTCTCACTCTTTGCGAAACTGTGTAAAATTCTGGAGGTTAGATACATAAGAACATACAGCCCAATCATAAATATCTGGGCGGAATTTTATTCCCAAGGAAAGCATTTCTAAAATAATTAATAATTTAGGAGAAATCATTTTCGAACATGCCAACCCTAATGGGAATTTTTCGTACCTTGTGTACCCTATTAACCCGGTGCAAATTTGAAGTATTTTGTTTTTTTTTTTATAGAAAATAAAAGTACTTGTTAAAAGAAATTTACATTAATAGGAATCGAATATTTGTGTTGGATGTTGATAAGTCTGTGGAGTAACATAGAAGTTTGAAAACACAATTCTGAAGGCATAATTTTACCTCTGTTACATGGCAGTTGCTGTAAAATTATTTATTGGAATAATAACTTGTTAATAAATTTCTATTTGATGTATTGAAATTTTTGGGGGAAGAAATATCTTGATACCATCCTCGCCCATCAAATGATTTGGAAGAGGAATCCAATTTCTGATCCAATAAAAAATCTTTGTAATAGTTTTTGCTACCGGTGCGAGGCATTTAAGTAAATTAATTTAAATTAAATTAAAAAGCATTTGAAGTCTTTTCTTTTTTAAATCTCTACTTACACAGCTTCTACGTTTCTCGCGGTAATCTGTTGAGTTACCGCCACCAACACTTTCAGCGCCACTGCCACCATAGCCATCACTACTGCCGCCTAAAACAATTGGTTGTCCCAAAATCGCCTTTACAATGCTATCAGGACGATCATTTATGAATAGAGATGGTGTCTTTTGACGTGTCAATCGCTCAGCGATTTTAACATCTTCGGGGAATTTTTCCATGAATTTATTGCCGCTGTTATAGAGAGCTGAAAAATTATTTAAAAAAAGGTGGTTACGAAAAATATCCCTAGGCATTGTAGGTACATATTGGTTTTTGGTAGTGCTATTGAAGTTTAGACAAGACTCGTGTGAATTAATATCGAAACAAAAATACACTTTTGGAGACTTATTTGAGGTTTATAATTTTCGACAAAAACAATCATCTTATTCTTATCAGTAATAATGGTAAAGAAACTATGTGCCTAAAATGCATTGATTCCAAGAAGTGTTATGTATTTCTCTATGAAGATACGAAATTGACCTCGAAAAGAATTTATTGAAGTAGATGTTACCACCTATTACCATGAGTCTTTAGAGCAGAGGGAACTAATATATGGGAGGCAAATCCAATTCTGAATCGATTTTCAATAAATTTGACGGAGACATTTTTATCTTTTATTCCAAATAACATTGCTATAGAGTGCATGATATTACTTCGGGAAGGATTATATTAAACAAATATATATCAGAGCCGAGCTCCACCAAATAGAAAATAGCCATTATTTGTACAATAAACCTGAAATCGGATTAGGGATATATATGGGAGCTATATCCAAATCTGAACCGATCTTGACAAAATATGGCAGAGGTATTTATGGGCTGTATCTGATATCTGGTACCAAATATCATTTTTGTCGAATATATATTACGAATGTGAGGGACTTAAACATCAAATCGGATGAAGCATATATATGGGAGTTATAGTTATATCTGATCGATTTTCACCAAATTGATGTACTTACTTCTAGACTGAACTCTGTCGGATATGCCAAAATTCAGGTCATTTGGACTTATATAAGCCATGTGGTGCACAATTACACCAAAATCGATTGAAGATATATATGGGAGCTATATCCTAATCTGCCGAGAATTTGGCAGAGGTATTTCTGGGCTGTATCTGATATCTGGTACCAAATATCATTCTTGTGGAGTGCATATTACGAATGTGAGGGACTTAAAATCCCAAATCGGATGAAACATATATATGGGAGTTATACCTATATCTGTACCGATTTTCTCCAAATTCGATGCACTTGCTTCTGGATTGATTTTGGTTGGATGTACCAAAATTCAGGTCATTTGGACTTATATTGGCCATTTGGCCAACCCGAAATCGGTTGAAGATACATGGGAGCTATATCTAAATCTGATTCGATTATCACCAATTTCAATTTCGTCCTTAGGACAAACAAATACTGTATGGAAAATTTTCTCTCAATCGGATAATAAATGCGATCTGCATTTTGTTATACAAAAATAAATGCACAGACGGACTGGTATACATAAATCGATTCAGAAAATGATTCCATGAAGATCCTCAAAAGTAACTATGGGTTTAGCTCGCTTTCTTCTCCATGTTACAAACAAATGCACAAAGACATAAAACCCCTACCACTATGTGGTGTGGGGTATAAAAATTGAATACTTACAGAATCCTTTTTTAAGAAATTCTTCTTTTTTTGCACTTTGAAATGGATAGATTTGTTTGACATTGCTAACATATTCGCTGAAAATGGAAAGAGTAACACATGCAAATTAATATTTTCTACCAAAGAGACTATCATGCCATCTATCTGGGTTATACTTACTATGCATCCTCATTGAAAAACTTGACAATACAGTAAAGTTTACGTTTTATGTGACTGACGGTACCATCAGGATGGCGTGTGGCATCAATTACCTCGCCCGGCCACCAATTATTGCCCAGTTTCACCCACACAATATCACCGTCCTTGTATGCTTGATCCTCTGACATCTTGACTTGTTGCTGCTACCACTTTTTGCCTCTTTGTTAAAAGCAAATAATTTGATTTGATTACTCTCAAACAATTCCCTTCCACCAAGGCAAGAATTGGTTAGGATGTGTATTGGGGTTGAGAAGTAGGGGGTCGGTCGGTCTTTAGTAATTTCCTTTTTCTATTTCCTGTTGTGACGTCAACGTCATGGACGTCATAATGTTGTTGCTGTTGTTGATTCCTGCTATATTATGTGGTCTCATTTCATTAGTTATGCTGGAAAATTGTAGGATGATATCATGTTAAAAATGTTGAATGTTAAAGGGGAATCACTTTTTATATTACGTGTGAAAACGGCATCTTTTCCAAGTATTTATTTCTTTGATGAGTGTAGTTTGAGTTTTTTTTTAATAATTATTGGGTGTTAAAAAAAATAATTTACTTACGATTTTTTTCTTATTGTTGTTATTAATAAAACTAAAGATCTGTCCATTTTTTAAAGCTATATACAATTTTTCAATACCTACCTCATTCGATTTGCTTTGTAATATTGGCTGGTTTGGTCTGGATCTTTGAAAATAACAAGATTCGCTCGAATTGATTGAAAATACTGAACATGTTTATGGAACTAAGACGAAAAAACATTTTTGTGGTAAAATTCAATTAAAAGCTTCAAAATAGCGCCATGTGGGCTATACCTAAAAACATTAATCAAACATTCGATCCTACACGTGATATAATCTACGCTAAGGATGATAGTAGCGATTTTAACGGTTCTAGAACATCTAACCTAACATTTGATCTATTAAATTGTTATACAGGGTGAGATAAAAAATCTGCAACAAAGTCAAACGCCATAATTTTTACATTTTATTTTATATTTTATTGAATGAAAACAAAAAATGTCGGAAATAGCATCAAATTTTACAACAAGTTTAGATTTGTTCGAATTGGTCACGAATGTCGCTCTGCGGTATTTTGGCCCATTCTCGCTTGGCCCAAGCGCTTGCGTGAGGTGATCGACACTTTGGTATTTTTTAGTGACAACCTTGCTTTTCAAAATACTCCAGACACAATAGTCCAACGGATTGGTATTCGGAGATTTTGTTGGCTATTGTGCGCTGGAAATGAAGCCAGTAACCTCATTTTGTAACCATTCTTCGCACCTAAGTGCGAAGGTGCTGAGCGGAGAGCGACCATCAGCTGTTATGGCGGAACACACCATCACCATGTCCGGCGCTTGAGTTCTGGTGGCCAACCGAAGGTGCACATTTTCACCTGGCCCCTTTGGCAAGTAAACACGATAATTTTGTTTGTTTACAAACTGCTGGAGAACGAATGTTTTCGCATCGGAGAAAACCAAATTCGGCCGTTCAACACTTTCGGCCAAGCAAAGCAACTCTTTAGCTCTTTCGAGTCTATTTTCTTTCTGTTGCGGTGTAAGTTCTTGAACTTTTTGGAATTTCAATGGCTTTACCTCGAGCTAATTTTTCAATATTTGCCGAATGGAATATTGCGATTGTTCAGCTCGCGAGCAATTTTTCGGCCACTGCTACGTGGGTTTCGATCAAATCGCTTCTTTACTTTTCGATCCATTTCTGCTGATGTTAGTGTTTTCTTCCGTCCACTTCCTTGACGTCGGGCTACGCTACCAGTATCACGGTAACGAGCGATGGTACGAGAGACAAAAGATTTATTAACATTTAAATGCTGGAGTGCTTCAACGATAGCCACTTGTGGTTTTCCAGCCAAATATAAAGAAATCACACTATCACGCTTGAATTCCATCACGAATAACATTTTTTCAGGAAAATGCTCACCAAAATGCTTTTGTGCGCTTGTAAACAATAATTTTAACAGCTGTCGGATGAGTAGCTTAGAAATGACAGCAGTCTGTAGTTGGTTGCAGTTTTTTTATCTCACCCTGTATATGTGTTATATCAAAATTTTACGGTTACAAAAAAATCTAACTTATATCCTTTATGCTTATACACCCTCCCTCTAACATTAAGGAAAAATAATGCAAACACACAAATTTATAATTTTATTTTTATTAATATTTTTTTCTTGTTCTGATACATGAAATATATATTTATTTTTATGAATTTTGCTTAGATATTACAGAGAAATGTTTTTCAAACAAATACAAAATTTTGCAAGCAGGAAGTTTTATAGTTTACTACAAAAATATATTATTCTTTAATTAGAAAAAAAAAATCACAAAAGAAAACATTTAAAAACATTGACAATTTTATTTATTACAAAATAGGTATGTATACTTAAAACTTTTACTTGTAGTTTCTTTTGTTTTAAACAAATATAAAAATATCATTACATGTATATATTTTTAAACTGTTTAATAAAAAAAATAATAAATGTATATGGTTGTAGATACATATATTAAAGTTACAAAATATTTCTCTTGATTTATTTTTAAAATTTAGTTTACATTCATCAGTCATAAAAGTCTTGTCTTTGCTTTTTGTAGCTTTCTTATTAAGAAATTAAAAAGAAAATGTTTATTTTTCAGTATATTTTTATTAAATTTGTGAATAAATTGAAAAAACTGAGTGAATAGAAGTTGAAATGTATACGACAACGATTTGTGTTGATGAAAAGTGATTTTAGATAAACCTGGTTTACTATTATGTTAGTTTGATTTTAGAGTGTTAAAGTTTCCTCTGTCTCTCTATCCTACTTACATAAAACATTTTATTCATTAAAATTAGTTTTCATTGATTTTCTAATCATTTAAAACTATCTGGCCGTATAACCACTTGGCAAGTTTATGTGTGGCCAGTGAGCTTTAGAAATTTGAAATGCGACTAACTTAACTCTGCTAATGATAGCCATTGCAGAGTTGTATTTTATACAATTTAATGATTTTTCTTGGTTTATTTTAGAGAAATGCAAGGCAAGAGAGGAGGAAGGGAAACATTTAACTGCTCTGTTTTTTTCTTATTAAAATAACTGGCTTCTTGTTTGTTTACAGTGTATTAAAACGACTCAAATGGAACTGGGCCAGCAGTCCACGTTTCAACAGAACTCTATGTCGGTAGTGCTGGCAATAATGTCATTGATGTTGTTGCTGTTGTGTAGTATTATGTTGTTGCTGTTGTTCTTGTTTAATATTATTGGCATTGTCATCGCCTGCAACAGTGGTGCTATTACTATTATTGATGGCTGCACCAAGTCCATTGCCTAAAACACCACCGCCGCTGCCGCAGATGCCAACACCATTTGCGGATGCCTTTGACACATCATCACCCACAATCAACACCTTACCAACACCATCTGGGGCAACCAAATCACCGCTTAAACCATCAAGACCCAATGATACATCACCGGGTATTTTTGGTTTTGGACGATGTGTGTCCACAGCATCGATGGGTAGCTTTATGTGTTCCACTTTGCAACCGTAGGCCACAGGTGTCAGCTTAATGACCGTGTGCAAGGGAACATATAAATAGGGTAACTCATCAGCAGATTTATCCAAGAAGTAGGCGAAAAGACAACGCAATACTGCCTGGTGCGAAACTACCAAAACATTGCCTTGGCGTTCCAGTTCCATGATGACCGGCTCCAGACGAGCCACCAAATCTTCATAACTTTCTCCGCGTGGATAACGATAGGCGAATTTGTTTTGATCGCGAGCCTTAAACTCTTCGGGGAAGCGCTCTTTAATTTGTTCATAGGTCATTTCCTCGCAATGGCCTGCATCGATTTCATTCAAAGCCTTCCAACGCTCCTGGGGTGCCTTAATATCGGCCACTGTCTGGATGGCACGTTTCATCCATGATGTCCACACCCTTAAACCCTCAATATGTTGTTGCTCAATGTAAGCGGCCAGGGCTTTGGAATAAAGTCGGCCACGTTCACTTAAATTGGCATCACCACCAATTAAACCCTTAAGATTATGTTCTGACTCACCGTGACGTGTTAGGTAGATGGTGCGTGGTGTGATGTGTATGTTCATCAAATAGTAGACAATGCGGGATTCCACATGACCTTCATTGTTGTAAACCACTACCTTTTTGCCAGCGTTGTAGACCTTCATAAAACTCAAATGAGATTCGTTATCCTCGTCAATGGTTTGATAGCGTTCCTCATAGTGTTCGATGCGTTGCAGGAAATCCTGAACCACCAAATCGGTATTCATGTTGACATAATCGGGTGAGCTGACCTTGACCTCTTTAATGTTTTGCTCAATTATTTGCGGGTCATCGCAGATGGACTCGACAAAGAACAAACGGAAGCCATGATGTTTCACCACCACATCATAGATCATTTGACGGCGGTCATAGGTGGAGTTGGTGGCATCAAAAACTGCCACACTTCCTTGGCCACTGAGCAACCATTCGCAGGAGTCATGCAGAGCCTGATGGGCACAACGATTACGTATGGCCATGGCCTCTTCATTGTCGGCCCGGAAGAATTCATGGGATTTGTAGGCCGTGGTGGCGTGGCGACGATATTCACCCAAATTGAAGACTCTCGTACAGATACCAATCCAATTCAGATAACGTGCCAGCTTTTTCGAGATGAACGTTTTTCCACGGGCCGGCAGGCCGACCATGGCAATGACATGAGGTGTCGACACATCGGATATGGCCCTCTCGCCGCGTATGGGAAATGGTTTGGTCATTACGGTTTCGGAGGTGGGTGGCAGCAGCTTGCGCAACTCATCCGGCATAACACTGGGACAGACATGTAGCTCATTCTCAATGGCCAAATCGGCGGTTTTCTTGAGCTGATTAAGCGATGTGGTGCGTACACGTAGCGAAGGTGAAGTGTTGTAGGGCATGTCCATGATGCTGGTAGCTGTTACTGAACGTACTAGCGAGGAGTGAGGAAGGTGCTTGACAAGAGCGGCGCTAGCTGCGGAGGAAAGTAGTAGGGAATTTAAGAGGGTCAGTTGGGTTTGTGATTCTTGATTTTTGAATTTTTCTTTGATTTGTTCAAAATTGGGTTGATAAGAAGAAGAAGAAGGATAACATGTGGTGGGCAAGGTGGGCGAGGAACTGGAGTTATGGATGGTGGTATTGGTAATTGTGTTTGTGTTATTGGAATTGTAATTGGAAACGGAAGTGTTGTCGGTGTCCTCGTCCTCGTCTTCGTAGTCGATTACGTCGTCGTACTCGTCAGTCTCGGGTGATGTTCGAGTACTGCCAGAATTGTCGGCACTGGCGGGTGTAAATGTCAATGAAATACCACCGCCTCCACCACCACCTGCTCCATAGGGTGTGGTGCAAGGTGATGATGTATTAGAATTGGTCTCTGATGGTGGTGGTGTGGGTGGTGGAGTTGGTGAATTGCCACTGAACAATTTATTGGATGATGATAGCTGAGTGGTGGTGGATGATAACGGCGATGAGTTGTTGGTGGTGGTCGGCGTCGTCGTCTGGTGAATTAGCAGTGTAGCCGCTGTAGAACAAGATGATGGTGAATTTGTATTGGACAATGATGTTGATGAAGACAATGAATTTGTTTTGGATGACACCGGCGATGCAGTCAATGATGATGATGTTGATGATGATGAAGCAGCAGAGGCTGTCGTTAAGGGAAAGGCATCGTTATTTTGTGTTGTTTTTGTGGATTGTAAGTCATTAACTAAATCATTTGTTGTTGTTGTGGATGATGGTGATATTGCTATGTTGTTGTTAGCCGTGGTTAATGGAAATGTTAATGGCGTTGATGATGATGCGGATGGAGATGAAGATGATGATGATGATGCTTTAGCATTTAATTGTTCAATATTATTCATATATAAAGATTTCCTTGAAACTTTCAAATAGAAAAAAAAAAACAACTATATTGTATATAGGAAGAAGAAAAGTTCCCTTTCTTTTTGCAGAGCGGAAATTTTCTTGGGCAAAGGCAAGACTTTTTTGGTTTCACTAAAAATTACTATTATCGCTAGCAAAGTAAATAAATATATATAAATTATCTAAATAAATTCTTTTCAAAATCGATCGATCTTCTCAAAGTATCACAAAAAGTTCACTTTTTGGTTGGTTAGTATCCCTTGGGTCGGGGGATTCGGTCGGTTGCTTGCTCGCTCTCTCTCAACAACTTCGGAGAAAAGAAGATGAAGAAGAAAACAATTTCAGTTCTGTTGTTGGTTTGTGTTCTCTCAGTCCTGCTGTAGTTAGACGCCTCTCAGAGCCATCAACACAAACACTCGCTCAATCAAAATGATGCCCTGTTGTGTATGTATTTGAAATGATTAGAAGACCGTTGCTTTGTGTGTGTTTCAAGTATCCTAAATATCACAGCCCAGGCTCGTAATTAATGTAGAGGGTGGAAAAAGGGAGAATTGTGTTTGCTGTTCAGTGGTCGTTATTTTTCTTTTTGAAAACAGTTTAAAAACTATTTCAAAATTTTATTGTTTGCTTTAAATTTTTTGCTTTCTGTAAGTAAATGTTTTTAAAAGAAAAGAAAATAGAAGACATTTGAGAAAAAAAAATCGTATATGCGACAAGAGAAAATTTGACGGAATGTATCATAATATCTTGAGAGAGAAATTCTTTGAAGGAATCAAAAACGAAAAATTATATCAAAATTAAAAATCTTTGCAAGAAAAGAAAACCTAGGCCAAAAAAAAAAACAGAAATTTGATGCTCAAGAGCGGCTGTAAAAGATTGACAAAAATAAAGAAAATGCAAAAAAAAAATTGGAGAAATTTATTGAAATAATGTTTCAACATTATCCAAGGGATGTGGAAATTCATCTACGTAATCCAGAAATGTATTTACATTATTTAAATGAAATGTAAATATTTATACATAAAGTATCTACGGGATATAAAGGCCCTGCATAATATATATAGTGTATGAACAATAACATTGTGGATAAATTAATTGTTTTATCAAAGTAATAACATAGATAATGTTACCACTTTATCTAAAATACACGGATAATGTATCAACGCGTTATCTATATAAAATAGATGATGTATCTACGTTGTTTAAGTGCCGTATACAGTACATTTCCGTTTTTTTTTTTTAAGTAAAGGATAACGATTCTATGTGATGTTAATGCTGTGAATTATGTATCCACGATTCCCAAATAACATAGATATAGTATCTACGTCATTTGAATGCTAAACAAATAGTGTGCATAATGTATCTATGTAATATATACACCATAGATAATGTATCTATGTTATTGAAATGCATTGATAATGCATCCACTCTGTATTTGTAACATAAATAATGTATCTACGCTATACAAAAGTCATGGATAATGTATCTATGTCATCTCATTAACATAGATAATGTATCTACGCTATCTAAATGCCGTGAAATAAGTATTTTCGTTATCTGTATGATGTCCACGTTATTTAAATGACATAAATAATGTATCTAGGCTATCTAAATGTATTGGAAAAAGTATCTACTCTATTTAAATGCAGTGATAATGTATTCATTTTATGCATGTAACATAAATAATGTATCTACGCTATACAAAAACTGTAAACAATGTATCTATGTCATCTCATTAACATAGATAATGTATCTGCGCTTTCTAAATGCCATGGAATAAGTATCTTTGATATCAGTATGATGTCGCAGTTATCCAAATGACATAAACCTCATGGATAATGTATCTACATTATTTAAATGCAGGGATAATGAATCCATTTTGTGCATGTAACATAAATAATGTATCTACGCTATACAAAAATTGTGAATAATGTATCTATTTTTATCTCATTAACATAGATAATGTATCTGCTCTATCTAATAATAAGTATCTTCGTTATCTGTATAATGCCCACGTTATCCAAATGATATAAATAAAGTATCTGCGCTTTCTAAATGTATTGGACAATGTATCTACATTATTTAAATGCAGTGATAATGTATCCATCTAATGCAAGTAACATAAAAAATGTATCTACGCATTACAAAAGTCGTGGATAATGTATCTATGCCATCTCATTAAAATAGATAATGTATCTACGCTTTCTAAATGTCGTGGAATAAGTATCTTCGATAACTTTATGACGTTCACGTTATCCAAATAAAATAAATAATGCATCTACGTTATCTGAATATATTGGACAATGTATCTGCATTAGGTAAACCTCGAGGATAATGTATCTACGTTATTTAAATGCCATGCTTATGTATCCACGTAATATAAAAATGTATAAATGATGTATCTACGTTATTGAAAAGCCATGTGCAAAATATCTACCTCGTTCAAAAGCCGAATATAATATATCCACTCTATATAAATTCCAGAAATAGCAAATCCACGATATTTAATTAACATGGATGAAGTTATTTCATTGCCGTGGCAATGTATTCACGCAATAAAGGGTGATATTTTAGGTTGTATCTATTTCGAAACACTAGTTAAAACAGTTCACCAACGTTTTGTGTTTTGCTTCACTGTCAAGATCAGTCAGAAGCATTGCAAAAGCTATCATAGCACCGAAAAAAGTAACAGTTTGGTGAGTTTTATGGGCAAATGGCATCACTGGGTCGCATTTTTTCAAAGATGCTGCGAATAGTGGGCGCTACCATGAGCTGATATCCAACTTTTTTATGGCACACACCACGCATAACAATGGACTTACAGTGAGGTGAGTTAGGTGAACATTTTATTTCACGTTGGAACCCCACCGGTCAAGTGGACGCCTATATCGTGCGATATAACGCCTTTAGATCTATTTTTTGTAGGGATATGTTAAAGTTTTTTTCTGTACAGGCAAGTCCGTTTCAAACGACGCATTGGAAGACAACATTGAAGTTTTTATTTGTGAGATTCCATCAGAAATGTTGGAAGGAATTTCTCAAATTTGACTAAACGTATGGATCATTTGGGGAGCATTCGTGGCCAACATTTGAATGAAATGGACCTTACTGTCAATTCGAAAAATATTTCATACATTTTGCTGAATTTTAAGTGTTCCCTGAGAAAAACCGTTCTATAGCTCTTTAGAAATCACCCTTTATTAGCAACATAAATTGTTTATCTGCGTTATTCAAAAGCTAACTACAATTGAATTAACTTTTTTTGTATACCTTGAATAGTGTATCTCTACGTTATGAGTAATGTAAATACCGTGATAATCAAGGACATATAATAGATAATGTCGTGAATAGGGGGGCTAGGGCTATCTAAATGATAAACAACATGGAAATTCCAGCTAATCCAATTTACCTAAACAAAACCTATCTTGACCCATTTTTGAACAAAAACAAGATAAAAAGTATTAGTCGGTTTTGCCAACAGATGTATACCCTAAGCCAGAAGAAATGGTCCGATCTTTACCATCTTTATAAAAGATTTTGTGTTGATGGAAATATTGAGATTTACCAAGTCTGAATGAAATCGGATGTTAACTTCGTGTTTTATGAGCTTCATGGAGATTCAAAATTTTGACCTTTTGTGGGGCAGGCACCAGAAAGAGTGGTCCGATATATCCCATCTTCACAGTAGATCTTGCGTTACTAGAAATAATGGGATGTGTGAAATATGAAGTAGATCGTTTCGCATTTTATGAGCTTCATTGATATTCAAAATGTGGAGCCTTTGTGGGGGAGGTACCAGAAGGAGTGCACATATATATTCCATCTTCACACCAGAGCTTGGTTTAATAAAAATATTTTGACGTGTTTTATTTGAAGACAATCAGACACTTACATCACATTTTATAAGAGTTATAATTATTCAAAAAGTTGACCCTTTGTGGGGGAGGTACTTGATAGAGTGAACCGATATTGTCCATTTTTGCTCCAGAACCAGCACTGATGCAAATATTAGCATTAGCAAAGTTGGAGCACAATCGAATTTTCCTTTCTCTTTCTGTGCAGTAAATTATTTTCTTTGAAAATCTTGACATTTTGTGGGGGAGATACCAGAAGGAGTGGACCGATACTGTACATTTTCGAACTCGATCTTAGTTTGACAATAATATTACGATGTACCAAGCTTGGGTCAAATCAGATACTCCCTTCAAGAGTTATCGTGCGAACCACCCGGCTAGACAGACAGACGAACGGACGGACGGATGGACGAATATCGCTAGATCGACTCCAAATGTCCTGAAACGGATGTGGCCAAAGATACCTAGAGTCTAAAACCATTACTTCGATGAGGCACGTTTTGGCCGTATGATATATATTCTCTCTAGCCATATGGCTGAGGGTTTAAATTCGCGGATAACACTCTGTAACTTCATGGCAACAAAACACTAGAAAACAACAGCAAATAAATGAAAAATAAACTATAATTTCTAGCCTCTGCGACAAATCCTTTCAAAAACTACACACCATCATCATCGTACACCACAAAAAATTGCCACCATGTGCCAGTCAGTTTATTTTTTCTTTTCCCATTGGTCATTCCATCCATCCACAATATTTTTGTGGGGTCACCATTCTACAGGTTTTCGTTTATTGATTTTCTTTTGTGTGTGTTTTTTTTATAAACTTTTACTCACTTGATTATATATTTTTTTTCTTTCAGCTAATATTAAAAACAAATCTAAACGATTCCAGTTTTGTGTGTTTTCTTTTCCAACTATTTAAGCGTGCGACTTTTTCGTTTGTAATCAGCATGTGGTGACGATGAAATGTTTGTTTGCCTACTAAACTATGGATACTCTAGTCAAGTGCATGGAAGACGAGACCCGACCCTATGCCTAATAAACAATACAAAAAAAAAAAAAAAAAAACACTGAAAACCATTCAATCTACCAACAGCAGCAAAGCGGCCAGTTACCAGAACTAGCTTGGCAGCGTCTCGGCAAGTGGTGCGTTTAGCTGGCTGTTTGCCGATTGTCACAAAAAACAGAAACAGCCAGCACTTAAACCTCTCAAGCAGAGTTAATATTAAAATATTATGGGGGAGAGAACGTCAGTGGCGCAAAATGGGCACAGTGGTATGAGAACGGGAAAAAAGGGAATTTTAAATAAATCCCTTGGCTTTTGTGGATGTCAGTGACATTTCTGAATGGATATTTGATCTTTTTTCTCGATTTGTGTTTTTAATGACCTAAGGTGATGTATTGAAATGTGGAATCTAAAGATGTCAAACGTATCAAGTTGAAATCGAAGCCTTTTGCCCTTGGTAAGGTGGCTCATCAGGCATATTCAATTTAGGAAGCTAGATGAAAACCCATTTTGGAAATATACCGATTTTAGAATAATAATTCAGTGCTAGATTCCAAATTTTAATGCATATCCTGAGGCTTTTAAAAGCTCAACTCGTAAGGGAATCTTTTAACTGTAAATATTAACATGGAACTAGCACTTCAATCAAAAGTTGACTCATCAGGCATATTCCAATTAGGAAGCTAGACTAAAACCAACTTTGGAAATTAACCGATTCTAGAAAAACAATTCAGTGCTAGATTCAAAATTTCAATGCAACTCCTGGCGCTCAATTTGTGGGG